GTTGAGTGCTCATCTGGCATGTAAGAGGGCCTGGGTTCATTCTCTAGAACTGAAGAAGAAAAAAAGCTGATCTGTGGGATTCTCAACCAAGAGTAAAAGGCACAGGTTTAGAATGGAACTCAACAATAGTATGCTCACTTTTCGTGGGCAGGGCCTAGGGTTGAACCCCCAGTGCCACACAGGAAGGAAGGGAGGGAGGGAGGGAGGGAGGGAGGGAGGGAGGGAGGGAGGATAAGGAGAAAGAAAAGGCACACGCAGCACTATTTGTCTACCCCGTGCCCCAGGTTCTGAGCAGTTTCTGCAGTTGGCGAGCATGTTGCCATTTAGGACAGAGGTTGCTCTGTCATTACCTGTGAGTTCCTATTGGGCCATCATTTAGCACCTGCAGTCCATCTTCCCTGTCCAGCAAGAGAGCTGTGGACTGTGACTAGAAAGTGGGCTCCTAGTTAGCATCATGCTAACCACGGCAGCCTTGGCCTGAGGCTCACTCAAGCGCCCACCTGACATCCCAGAGTTGAGGCTCATTCAAAGGTGACCTGGTGTCCCTCTGGAGAACAACTCCTGCAGTCGGAGCTGGACCAGTGCCGGCCCCCACCACACACACCTGCCTCCCCCAGATGATTGCATCAGAGCCAGAGCTTTGTCTCTTGTCATCTTCCTTCTTCTCAGGCAGGGGAAAGAGGGTCTGTCTAGTCCAGTGCGGGAGAGGGAAGGTCTCCCTACACGTCCCTCACCTAGGGCTTGAACTGCATGCAGCTGCTGTCTTTGAAAGTGAAAGGAATGATCATTGCTGTCGGCCATTTCATCTGGTTCGAATGGCTACTCCCCACACCACTAGAGAACAGGTTTTCCCGGTCGCCTTCGTCCTCCAGCATCAAGCAGTCGCTGGGGTCATGAGACACTGGGAGTCAAACAGACACAGCAGACCAACCAAGGGTGCCAGCAAAACACTCCTCTTTGGACCTGTTCAGGGTTTCTAGGGGGTAAACATTAGTTTTTCTTACCAAGCAGAGAAAAACCTGCTGTAGAGCACAATCTCCATTCTCCGGCTGAAACTTGCCTTGACCCATCTTTCCCTGGGGTTGAGAAAGAAAGTCCAGTTAGGCTCCGGTGGAGATGCTCAGGGACACGTTCTGGAGCCTGTGTGCCTCAGGGACTCTACATAGGGACAGAGTAGGAGCTGGCAGTTGCAGGAAAAAAATTCAGAGTGTTTTATTATAAGAACTGGCAGTGCAGAGTAGATTCTTGATAAAGACTTGCCTTAGGAAACTAGTTGTATCCACCTACATGCATAGCAACATCCTTCACATTAACCAGAAGGTGGGTACAACCCAGCGAACTGGCTGTAGGTGGATGAGCACAGCAATGGTCTGTGCATGCAGTGGAATATTATGCAGCCTTCAAGGGTGAGGAAACTCAGATACCTGTTTCAACGTGGTAAACATCACGCTAAGTGAAACAGGTCAGTCACGTAAGGACAAATGCTGTGTACGGCTCCCTTTATTTGATAAAAGCTGTGAAGTCACAAGGTGGAACAGAACATACAATGGTAGCTGCCAGGGACTGAGGGAAGGAAGGAATCATGAGTCTAGAATTTCACTTTCACAGGATAGAGAATTCTGGGGATTGGCTGCACAGCACTATGATTATACTTAATGCTGCTGAATTCTGTACTCCGAAATGGTTAACATGATCAGTTTTATGGTATGTGTAGTGTGTGTGTGTGTGTGTGTGTGTGTGTGTGTGTGTGTGTGTGTGTGTGTGTAGTGAATGCATACATGATGTGAATGCATATCTGTGAATACATTTGGAGACTATAGGAAGACATTGGATGTCCTGCTCTATCATTTACCACCTTATTCCCTCGAGACAGGGTCTCTCACTGAATCTGCAGCTAACCTAATGACTAGAGAGTGCCAGTGATCTTCCTGTTTCTGCTACTTATCACCCAGTGCTCCGTTACAGGCATGTTTGACTATGCCCAGTTTTTTACATGGTTTCTAGGGGTTTGAACTCATGTCTTCACTAAGGTTACCACTAAATCATCCCCTCCAGACCCTATTATGTGTATTTTGCTATAATTTAATATTTACTTTATTTTTAAAGATGTTTATTTTATTTTAAATTATGTGAGCATGTGTGGTGGTATGTGTGGGTGACTGGAAGCTATGAGAGGATATTGGTTCTTCTGGAGTTGGAATTACAGGCAGTTGTTAACTGCCTGACATGGGTCTTGGGAACCAAACCTAGATCCTCTGAAAGACCATCAGGCACTCTTAACCACCAAGCCATCTCTCCAGGTCCATACAATTTTATATTTTTCTTAATATTTTCTTTGAGACTGGGTCTTATGTAGCCAAGGACGATCTTGAACTTCTAGCGCTCCTGCTTCTACCCACCATGTGCTGGGATTGGAGGTACATCATCATACTCGGTTTATGTGTTACTGGGAATTGATCCTAGGGCCTCATGCATGCTAAGCACACAAGCCACTGAGTTACATCCCCTGCCTTTCCATGATTTTCAAAAGGGTAATTGTGATCTGCTGCCATTTGCTGGCTGAGACATGGATAGCTCTGTTCTTCAGGCCAGTCTCTCCTACTGATAATGTTCAGTTTGAGCATCTGGCCTCAGAGCTTGGTGCAGCACTGGTGGGAACACTTGGAGTTCCCTGCTGCAGGACACAGGCATCGAATCTTTGGTAGCTGCATTGGGCAACCTCAGGGTTGGTATAAAAGGAGTCTGCAAGCATAGCACAGGCAGAGAAGGGTGCTATCCTTCTTAACTCTGGCCTCAGCAGTGAATGGATCCACAGAGAACTTACTTTTCCCAGCCACACAAAAGCAAAACATTGTCTCTCTCAGCTGTCTGTAGTTCTGATGTTTGCTCTGGCTGAGCTGAAGAATTGTCCAGGCAGGAAATAAGTTGCTCATGCTCTTGTATTTGACCCCTAATCCATGCTTCTGTAAGTAAGCCCAATTAAACTCACTGGTTCAAGTTGGACTTGGTTAGAGTCATGTTTTTGGCCTGTTATTAGGGTTCTATCAGGTGAAATGCACGTTTGTTCTTGGCTCCCCAGGAAAGCCAGATGTCCAGCTGCAGTAGCATTGTGTACATGTGGCCTCTGTGAGTTCCTCTATTAAACCTCAGACAGGAATGGCTAGTCAGATTTCCCCACTGCTAGCTGACTCTGGACAAGCTCAGTGCCCAGTTAAAGGGCCCTTTGCCTCTCTTTGGGTGATGTCGTTTCTCCTGCCTAGGATTTTGTCTCAGGCTCCAGGGATATGCTGTGGAGAAAGGGAGAAGGGAGTCCACAGGCTGTCCAAAAAGAATCTGGAAAGAATCCTGACATAGACCAGGGTGCGGGCAGCTCTGGTGTCATCTTAACACCTAGGATTCTGTGTCTGAGTCCGGTTCCTTTCCCAGGAGCCAGAGAAGGGGCAGCCAGCCACTGGTGGCTCAAAAGAAACCAGCAGCGTTAGGACATAGGGTTAAATGCTGTAACCATAACATCCACAGGGAAGCTAGAACTAAGCGTGAAGGTCATCAGATTGTAACAAAGCCAATGAAAACCTTCAAATGAATGAGGCTATGTTGCTAATCCTTCAGTGAACAATGAGGGGGAAGTGGTGTGCATTGGCACAAGAGCCTGCTTCTGTGGGGAGGTACAAAGGTGTAAGAAAATGACTCCAAATCCCCAGCTCCCTGCCCTGCCAGATCTCCCTCCTGTGTCCTAACAGGGATGCTTTTCCTGAGGCTGCACAATCCTCCTTAGCTTTGGCCAGAAGCTGTGTGACCCTGAGGGATGGCTTAACCTTTTGCAGGTGGCTTGCTCTCACGGGGTGGAAATATCTGCTGTTAATGATGACGATGGCTTCTTCCGTTTATCAAGCAAGGTTCCACTGGCAGGTTTAATGCTGAGAATTCAACACGTGTTTTCATTTCAGCCTTCCAACGCCTCTATGACATAGATTCTATTATTATTGTTTTAATCTTATCAGGAAGCTGAGCCTCAGATAATGTAAAGCTGTTTGTCTGAGGCCTCGTGGCTAGTACCCCAGAACTCAGAATTTGAGCTGAGAGGGCAGACTCCAGTCTCGAGATCTCAGCTAACCCTTGGTCAGAATTCTTGAAGGAGATTGTATGGGCAGATTGGTGGGCAAAGGATTACCAAGTGCCTTTAAGAACTCATATAAAAGATGGTTGGTGTTTAGAAAAGAAAGTTTTAAATAGTATTAAAAGTTTGATATTTATCCCCGATAACACTAGGCCAATGAGATAAAAGGCAGTACACAAAAATGGAAAGACTAATGAGAGAAAAAGTTTATTAACCTAGTAATAAAACAAATACAAATATTTGTGAAGGGAGAATGAGAAGAGAGCAGTCTGCAAGCCGAAAGCAGCTCTGGGGAGACATGGAACTGGTACCCTGATCTTGGCCTGGGAACTGTGAGAAATAAATGTCCATGGTTTATAAGCCCTCAGTCTGTGATAGTCTGTTAATGTAGCCCAAATGAACTAAGATTTTGTATTACTTACAAGGAAGACGAAAAATGTGTGCAATATAGAAACATAATCATAGTGAGCATGCACACAAGAATGAAAATTACATCTGTGCACTGCACTGCTGTTTGCTTATCAGATTGGAGAGGATAAAGTGGCGACAGGGAAAGTCTGGCGCGTAATTGACTTAATGTACTCCCAATTTGTTGCTATTGTGTTCCTGGGATGAACAGTTTAATATTCCACTCAACATATGTTAAGCTTCGCTAGGTGTCTGATCAAAAAGTAATAAACATTTTTATGATAATTGCCGAGGCAAAGTGAATGGCAGGCGGCTGGGCTTGCTGCAGATTGCGGAGACCCCGTGTCAGAGCAGCCAGGACCCGGGGGTGGGGGGGTGGGAGCGTAGGTCCCCCGCGGGGGGGCGTGGCCTGGGTCGTGGGGTGGGGAGCGAGCGAGGACCACAACTCCCAGGCGCCCGCGCGCCGCCTCGCCCCTGCCACGTGATCCGCGCGGCCGGGGCGCGGTAGCAGCCGCAATCTTACTGAGTCGAGTCGGGAGCCGCGAGCGGACGGACGCGACCCGGGCGGCCGCCCAGTGCGCGCACCATGGCGGTGAGTTCCGCGTCGCGCGGCGGAGGGGACGGAGGCGGGCGACTGTGCGGCACTCCCGGAGGTCCCCGCAGCCCCTGGCCCGGAGACTTGGAGAGGCGGGGGGATGTGTCCGCGGTGCTGTCACAGCAGGAGTAGGGCTGGAGGACGCTGCAGGTGAAGCTGTCTGTAGCTCTGGGAGTTTGTTTCTGTTTGTCCCTTCCGGACGGGAGTCAGTCTCCACAGCCAGGCCAGCCCCAGCTGGGACGCTGCGGGTGGGTGCGGAGAGCGAGGACAGCTGTCCGCCGTCCCTTCCCGGGATCTACCCAGGTTTGGGACATTACAGAAGGTTTCCTCCGAGGGGAGGCCCGGCGGGGTGCAGCGCAGCCCACGCGCGGGCACTGAGCACACACCCCCGGCTCAGTGCCCTGTCCTGGGCAGGCTCCTGGGTCTGTTTCTTTAAAACTAACCCAGTTACTTCCCCATCCTTCTTACCCTCGGAATCTGAAAGTGGCGTTTTCAACAATCATCTTTTTCTGGTGAGGTTCCCCCTTGGATAGAGAATGACAGCTTGCAAGACTCCACTACTCTTTGAGGAAATCCTATCAGTTTCATCTCACAGAGGATGTCTCAGAATCTAAGACAGGAAAGTCTACACAGGCGGTTTGGTGGAGAGGCACTCCACCTCCTGCGGATCCTCTAATACGGGGAAATAGATGAGAACCCCTTGATAAAAGGTCCCCAGGCCGTCAACAGCAGCTTTTGTCTCTTCCTGAAGTGTCTGGTTAAAAAACGAAGGCACTTTTCTCTCTTTAACCCCAAATGAGGGAAAAGAAAACAAGCCCTGTGAACGGCTCTGTCATTGGCCATGGTCCCTCCTCTGTGAGGTGCCGCCCTGCATAAAGCACAGATAAACTGCCAGAGACACAGATTTATCCCCAGTGGGAACACGGCTGGGGCCCTGCCCTTACATATCTCAACAGAGACCTGCCAACTCAAAGCTGTGGTCCCTTCCCGTAAGTCTGGGTGTGCTCATTTTGGATCCTCTTCTCTTGCGCCAAAATACAGAAAGAGTGAGGCACCAGGGGTTTTGAACTTGGTAGGGAAGTGGACTCGTTCCCTATGGGCACTGCAGTCTGGCCTCCCAGCTGCCGCCTGCTCCCCAACTGTCCCAGCCACTTGCCTCTCCTCCTGCAGGTGGCTTTGTCCCCTCCCCAGGTGGTCCCCCTGCCTCCCTGCTTCTGCCTGCAGCCTCTCTGTTTTAATTATCTATCCCCCTGCTAAGCAGATCGAATGCTACCAGCCTCCCCTCATTCCTCGGCATCCTCAGAGGCTGTACATTCCTAGCACACACACAAAAGATGTTGTTGAGAGAAGTTTACTGTGCGTGGGTCTTTCTGTGGGCAGCAAAAGGTGTTGGCTGCTTTTTTTGCTCCTGAGGTAGTTGGCCTGGACCCAAGGATGATAGGATAAAATGAGTTGTGGAAACTCCCAGAGTGACTAACTTAGCTACTGGAGGCATTCCATCCATACCTACTGCTTTACCAGCCTGACTGGGTGAAGGAGTGATGGGCACAACCTCCACCTGCTAGAGATGGTGCCGGGGCCTCTCCGGCAGTCTGAGGGAGGCAACCTCAGGATACATGGAGTTTTGCCCTGTTGTTTCCTTCATATTATTCTTTTGTGAACATTTTCCCAGGTCATCAACTGTTCATTTTGAAATTCTAACAAGATATCTCAGGATGGTAGAACTCAAAATGATTTTCCTATTTGGTACTATTTTAGCTTTTTATGTTTGCCAAGTACCACGTTCATATTAGGAAGATAAAGTGCTCATTATTCAACATGGTTTTGAAGTGACTACTTATTTTCCATATTGAAGCTGTTACATAATTTACCTGACCAGCCCCAGCTAGTAGGCAGGGACGTGGTGGTTCAGACTATTTCCCCAGCCCATACCCCTACAGATACTTGCCCCCAGAAATACCCAGAGTGCTTATCAAACATGCTGCAATTTGAAGAGTAACTATGCTTTCTAGAAAGTTCTATGACTCTGAATGCATGGGCCCTTAAACAAAGGCCCTGTTAACAGTAGCTGGCAGTAGCAGAGATGTTGGATTGGGGGAGATACTGGGTAGGTAGGAGCTGAACACAGTGCAAACCTGTGCAGGCCCTCAGAAGAAAAGGGCTGCTATTCTGTCAGATGATTTTACTCTCCTCTGGGTCTTCTGAAAGTCAGATGCCTTTCAGAACCGAAAGGTATATGTGCCACGTAGGACAGCCTTCCCTGTTTCCAGGTCTGGTCTATAGGGTACAAGTCTGAACACGGGGAATAGAACACCCATGGATGAGGCATCCCTCTCCACTCACAAATAGAGACATACTCAGTTTTTGTTTTCTCTTGTCCTTTATTGTAGGGCATTCCGAGTAGAAATGGAGCTCACAATGGGAGCCTGTCTGTACAAAGTTCACAGCGATCCGAGAAAGTGAAGCCAAACCAGGGAAAAAGGCTTCCTGGGTTCAGTTCCCATTTTACAGATAGACAGACTGAGCTCCAGTAGGAGCTTGCTGTGTGGCTTCAAGGTCCTAGCAGAAGAAGAGGGCAGATACAGAATGTTCAGGTTCAGAACCTGTGTTCTGTGCACCAGGCTTTGCTCCTGTGTTCAAACTGTACCATGCTGAGTGAGCATCAGAGCCCTTTCCTCGAATGGGTCTCGTTAAGGTCACCTGGCTCTTCGCTTGGCTTCTGATCGACAGGTCTGAGGAGGCCAGGCACCTGCAGTTTCAGGAAAGCTCTGGGGTCTTAGGGGAACATGGTGTCCTTCACTAAGCGACCTGGGCAGTGTGGGACCTGTTGACAGACTCTGAACTCCGAGGTTCACCTGTAATTCCCTGTGTGTGTGGAACCAGGATCATGCACACCTGTGTTCCGCTCCTGCAGCCTTCCTCTAACCTCTTCCCCCTGCTTTACATCCTGTTTCTCAGCTGCAGTCCCTCAAGCACTGGCTTTTCTTCCCTGTCTTCACATACCATAATCTTTATCCTTAAAGACCTGAGCACCACCCCTGTGACTGCGTGGAGGTCTTTGCTCCTATATTTTTCTCCTTTCCCAGCTTCTTCCCTTCTTTCCTCCCAGTGTGACCTCATCTCTGCTACTTTCACATCTTTTTTTGGAAGTGTTAAAACTAACAATCAAGGACTCCGGTGATCGAGTGCATGTCCAGCACACACAGAGTCATAGATCCCGGTGCCACAGAAACTGAGTGTGCTGGTGCATTCTTGTGATCCCAGCACTCAGAAGGTGGAATTAGGAGGATCAGTTCGGAATCATTCTCAAGTTCAAGGCCAGCCTGGGCTACACAAGACCCTGACTAAAACAAAACAAAATGGACTGGATAATGGTTCAACAGTTAAGATCGCGTTCTGCTTTTGCAGAGAACCCAGTTTGGGTCTCAGAACCCATGTTATCCTTGGGTAGCTCACAACTGCCTGTAACTCTAGCTCCAAGGGCAATCTGGTACCCTCTTCTGGCCTCTGTGAGCATTGCACTCACATTCAAAAACCCACACACAGACACACACTTAGATACACAATTAAAAATAAAATATATTTTTCCAGATAAGGTGTTTCATGCCTTAATAAAAGCACTTGGGAGGCAGAAGCAGGTGGATCTGGTATACATAGCAAGTTCAAATACATGGTGAAGTTCTCTCTCTCTCTCCATATATATATATACACACACACACACACACACACACACACACACACACACACACACACACAAAACAAACAAACAAAAAGCATACCCATGGGTTTTCTTCACAAATTAGGTTTGTTTACACCTTATGTCAAATGAGGGTCAGGTATGAAGACATGAGTTCTATTCCTGATACTGCCACCACCTCACAGTGTAACCCTGGGCATGCCTTAACTTCCTCTTGGGCTTCCTTAAAGGTTGTGTTGAGAGCACAGACTCTGAAACCAGTCTGCCTGGGCAAAAACCTGCTGGCCAGCATGCCAACAGATATGAGAAATGATTAACACTCTCCTGAATTAGATTCTGCCCAACAAGAAAAGGGGTGGGAAGGGACTCGGGCAGGGGATAGGGTTCTAGGGTCCGCCTTCCGGCAAGAAGGAGAGCTGTTGAGCTTTATTTTGCCCAATTCCAGCTTCTCCCAGGCTTGATTACAGAATCATTTCTCAAAGTATGTCTTAACAGCCTGTGGTTCTTGTGGAACCCTGTTGAGAAATATTCCTGTAGCTTTGACAGATGTGGGAAAGAGGGCCCATTGACTCTTCTCATATGAATGCTTCACACTTCTCCCAGCTTCCCTGGGCTGGTGCCGAGGCTCCAGAAAGCCCTTAGTTGACAGACCTGGTTTGCTCCCAAACTATTATCTTTTTGTTTTGCTTTGTTTTGTTTTGTTTTGTTTTGTTTTGTTTTTGAGATCATGACTCACCTTACTCCAGGCTGACCTGTGTCTCAGTCACTGTCCCGCTGCTGTGAAGAGTCACCATGACCAGGGCAACTCTCATAAAAGAAAGCAGTTAATTTGGGGCTTGCTCACAGTTTCAGAGAGTTAGTTCATCATCATCTGTGGAGATATACTGTGTACCCCAATAAACTGCCTGAGGATCAGAGGACAGAGCCAACCACTAGATTAGACATAGAGGTCAGGCAGTGGTGGCACACACCTTTAATCCCAGTACTGGGAAGCACACACGCCTTTAATCCCAGGAAGTGATGTCTGGGCAGAGAAAGGTATATAAGGTGTGAGGAAACAGGAACTCACTCTCCTTAGACTGAGGATTTTGTAGAGGTAAGAACTAGTGGCTGGCTGTTCTGCTTCTCTGACCTCTCAGCTTTCACCCTGATATCTAGTTCTGGGTTTTTTATTACAAGACCATTTAAGATTCATGTTACAGTCATCATCATCATGGCAGGGAGCATGGCGCCAGAGCAGTAGCTGAGAGCTACATCCTGTTTGATTGGCAGAGACAGACAGACAAACAGACTCTGGGCCTAGTGTGGGCTCAAAGCTCACCCCCCAGTGACACACTTCCTCCAACAAGGCCACACTTACTCAAACAAGACCATGCCGCCTAATCCTTCTCAAGTAATGCCACTCTCTGATGACTAAACATTCAAATATATGAACCTATATAGGCCATTCTTATTTAAGCCACCATATTCTGGAACTTATGTAACCGAATGGCCTAGAATTCAGAACAGTGCACCTGCCTCAGCCTTCCAAGTGCTGGAATTATAGCTGTGAACTACCACAGCCCCTTCCATCCTACTGTTCTTTATTATCTCCTTTGATGCTCAATTTTGAGAAGCAGGGAGAAGGAAAAGGTAGATGTGTATGATCTGTGACTTAGGGCTGTCACCTACAAACAAGTTTGGACTCTGGCGTCCAAGTGGCCAGAGAATGCCCAATGGCACAGCTTCCAGACAAAGTGGCAGCTGACCTAATTTTCCTGCCCCTCCACTTGCACTGAAGCATGTCTCAGTCAAAACTCCCACAGCCTTTCTGAGAACCCATCCTCTCTCCAGGTCCTCTCCCCTGGAGCACTCATTGAGAGCTCCCAGGCTTCTCACAAAGCCCACCCAGGGCAAATCTCTTTCCTTCTCGGGGCTCCCCTTTCCCATTTGCAGATGAGATGGGTTGAGGGGGAGGGAGTTGGACTGAATCAATGTGTTCCTTTTTTATGTTTTTAATGATACTAGGGCTTGAACCTAAAGCCTCATATATTTGAGGCAAGTGCTCCATCCTCCTCTTTACCTACTCAATGCTGAGTACAGACTGGGGTCTGCAAAGAGTCTAGTGAATGAGTGGATGTGTGTGGTGAACAGATGGGAGACATCTGTCCTTAGCCTTGTATGACAAAACTCTGTCATATCTGTCCAGGTTCACTAGGACAACAGGGACTCCTTGCTGGCTCTGGGGAGTATTTTTAGAACTAAGCAAAAAGGCTGAGCCAGTCTATAAGGCTTGACCTAGGACTTCCTAATGAGTTTAGAGGACGCAGAGGGGACGTCTCCATGAGACCCAAGGATACTGTGTCATCCCAAGTCTGGTTGGCCTTGAGAGGGTAGGCACTCCCCATCTTCACTTCCATATGGAGCAGGGCTCAGTTATAGGTGCTACTGACCCACTTGGGCAAGCCCTCCTCCTCCTCCATCTGGCTTCTAATGGACCTCCCAGCATGTAAGTCCTGTAGCCCCAGGTCTCCCGGGGCAACTGCTGGAGAGCATTAGGAAGCAGGACCTCTGTGTCCAAGCCTCCCATGATGCAAACCTCGTCTCTTTCAGATGCATTTCATCTTCTCAGATGAGGCTGTGCTTCTGTTTGATTTCTGGAGAGTCCACAGTCCTACAGGTAAGAATTGGGAAGGTCACTTGTAGTTTGGCAAGCCCCATAGTGCCAGGCGGCAGAGAACCTGGGTTCTCTTTATTTTCTGTGGGCAGTTAAGGCACACTGAGCTAGAACTTTGCATTCATCATTCTAAAGCAAGCTAATAATAGGTCAGATGCCTGTCATGGCAGACATGCCCTTCTCTACAATGGATGGCCATCGTGCAGACCAAGCTGTGGGGTAGAACACCATCTCATTAACGGCTCACCAAGATTCTGTGGGTTGACTATGCTAACTAAGTGGTCTGGACTCAGGGCCTCTCATGCAGTGAGCCAGACAGTGGCTGGACACAGGCTTTTGGAGGAGTTTTTAGGGTCTTGTACTGGTTGAGAACTGCAGCCTCAGCTGGGTCTCATCAGAGGCTCACAGTGGCTCCTCCTGTAGCCTGGGCTTCCTCATGGCAGAATGGCGAGGTTTTAAGAGCAGGTATCCTAAAAAGAACATGGGTGAAATGCATGGGGTTTTAAAACCCTGCCCTAGGGGCTGGTGAGAAGGCTCAGTTGGTAAGGTGCTTGCTGAGAGAGCATGAAGATCTTAATTTGATTCCCAACACCCATGTAAAAGACAGTCACGGCAGCATGCACTGTGATCCTTGTACTGAGGAGCAGAGACAGGAGGACCCTGGGGCTTGCTAGCCAGCCAGCCTATCTTTAGCTTCAGCAAGAGACGCAGTCTCAAATAAGGTAGAGAGCAACAGAGGATACCTAATGTTGACCCCTGGCCTCTACACACATGTGCATGCACACACATGAACATGCACACATATATACACATATGCACATACACATACAAAAATAAAACCTACGCTTGGAAGTTGCATAGAATTATCTTCACCTGTTGACTGATCCTTTGACCCTTTCAGGCTAAAAGGGAGGGAACATGGCTCCCATCTCATGTTGGAAGGAGGGTGTGGGTAGCATATATGGGAGTGAACATCTTTGAAAGATGCACTCTATCACAGACACTGTAGAGTAGCGTGGAAAAATGAGGTAGATGTGTGTGAACAGAAGGGAGACCGTGTCCTGGGGGAGATGGATGATGAAACTGGATGCAGGTGAGTGTGCAGATGGGATGCTGTCATTTAGACAGTGAAGGCTGGTACAGACATGGAGCAGCAGAGGCTGCTGTGGAGAGGAGGCTGGGATCTGGGAGTGTGGGAAGACTTACTGTTTAGTGTATGCTCTTCTCCATGATTAAACGTCTACCACAGGCATGTAATTGCCTATGATTACCTATTCAAAAAAAAAAAGAGAGAGAGAGAGAGAGAGAGCCTGTGGCTTTTGCCTTTGTGAAGGAAAAAAACAGCCTATGGTTTTTCCTTTTTTTTTTTATACTCAACACTTCCATGGTCAGACGTGTAGTTCTTCCACACCAGCCATTTCTCAGACAGCAGCTGAGTGTCCAACAGTTCAGTTTAATTCCGACACTAGAGTTGGTGCACACCCCACAGATCAAGAGCACGGTCCCTCTCGGACTGTCTCCCATGCAGACACTTGTACTTCTGACCAGTGAGCTGTAAAATCAAGGCTATGACCCCACCCCCAACTGGCATCAATCATTTGCTGGAACAACTCACAGAACTTAGGGAAATGCTTTACATAGGCATAATTAAGCCACTAGCCACTGGTGATCAGCTCAGCCTGCGGCCCCTTTCTGTTCCCCAGAGCCTAGGAGTAAGGCTGAGTGTTCCAATCTTATCGAATGTTGGTTCCTTTCCATCATGAGGCCAGCTACTTAGGGGCTTCAGCCACAAGTCAATGGCACATATAAGCCCCCACTAGCAAGTATTTATTGGATACAGTATTTCTTAGTATATAGCCCAGGCTGGCTGTAAATTCACAATCCACCTACCTCAGCTTCCTCAGGGCTGAGATTATAGACATGCACTACTATTCCCAGTTCCAAATATATTCTTACGTCACAAAGCCTCATAAAATACTTCAGATGGACCATCTATTATCTGTCTGCTATAAAACACAGGTAGCATCAGAGTTCATTTTACCCAGAGGCACTAGTAAGTACTTACTATTCATTTTAACTTACTGGATTTTTCTCTATAAATGTAATACATGGAATTCTCATAGACAATAATTTTGGAAAATTAGGCAAGAAGTAAACACCCACTGTATTCTAACTTGCTGTTGCTCTCCTGATGTACACCTTCCCAGGGGTTTGGTATGCCTACATGTGAAAAAATGTATGCCTCGATGTATACACCACCCCATTTGCAAGAAATCTTGGTAGAGATGTGTGCAGAATGTGGGGGAGCTAATGGGGATGATGCTGTGTGGCTTCTCATCCTTAACCCCTGGCTCTGCCAGAATGAGGAGCTGCACTCCAGTGTGTCAGCACTACCAAGAGACGTCTGGAGAGGCAAAGAGAGGATGGAGGTCTGAGCTTAATGGGGGCGAGGAAAAGAGACCGGTGGCTGGAGTGGATTCAGAGTGAGTGGAGAGTAGGCTGGCCTGCCTCCTGAGCCAGCCTCCTGCGGAGTGTCTGGGGGAGAAGCAGTGCTTCCCAGCCAGCTCTGCAACTTGGTTTGCTTGTTCTGGGGCCCTGGGGATCAAACCTGGGGCCTCACTCTGTCTCTGGGCCTTTTTACTTCTTGAGATGCGGTCTCACTAAGTTGTTTGGGTTGGCCTGGAATCCAGTCTAGTCCAGGCCAGCACTGAACTTGTAATCCATCTCCCTCGGCCATCAGAGTACCTGGGATTACATACAGGCCTTTGTCCAACATCTAGCTTGCTTTATTTATATGCACACGTCCCATATGTGCATATATACTTACGTGTGGGAGTGGATGTGCATATGTGTGCATGTCCGTGTGCACGTCAGAGGACAGCCTTGGTTATCATTCATCAGATGGCATCTTCCTTGTTTTTGAGACAGGGTTTCTCGCTGGCTTGGAACCTGCCTAGGAAGCTAGGCTGGGCTGGCCCGCAAGCCCAGGGATCTGACTGTGTTTGCTTCCCCAGTGCTGGGAATTCGGCAGAGGTGGCTGCTGCTGCTCTTCTCGTCCACCTCCCTCCTTCTTCCTCTTCTTCTTCCTCCCCTCCTTCTCCTCCTCCTCCTTCTCCTCCTCCTTCTCCTCCTCCTTCTCCTCCTCCTCCTCAGAAATCTACTTGCCTGTCTTTTAGTGCACGTCACTACACCTGACCAGCTTATTTATTTATTTATTTATTTATTTATTTATTTATTTATTTATTTATTTGGTTTTTCGAGACAGGGTTTCTCTGTGTAGCTTTGCGCCTGTCCTGGGACTCACTTGGTAGCCCAGGCTGGCCTCGAACTCACAGAGATCCGCCTGGCTCTGCCTCCCGAGTGCTGGGATTAAAGGCGTGCGCCACCACCGCCCGGCCAGCTTATTTATTTTTAATTGGCAAAAATCATCCCTCTTCTGTGGTACTTTGAGATGTTTCAGTACATGTGTAGGTTGTGAAGCATTCAAGTCAGGGCCAGCCACCTGTCTCTTCAAACTTTTATCATTTGTTCATGATGAGAACATGTAAAACCCTCTCCTAGCTTTTTTGAAACGTGATACACTATCATTATCTGCAATCACCGTACAGGACACAGCACACCAAAACCTATTTTTCAACTTGGCCTCTTCACAGGCATGGCCCTCTCAGTGCTGGTAGTCTTGCTCCTGGCTGTACTGTATGAAGGCATCAAGGTTGGCAAAGCCAAGTTGCTCCATAAGACTCTGGAGAACCTGCCTAGTGCCACCAGCCAGCAGCTCATCCTGGAACCAGACCAGGATTCTACAGGCTCCGGATCAACTCCAGCCAATAGTACCCGCCTCAGGTACAAACCATGGGTGGAAGGATGGCCAGAGCATTCATTCCTATCCTGAGAGGTGGTTGGGCCCAGAGAAAGAGAATTTTCACAGAAAGCACAGAAAGCTAATTTGGGCCCCAGGTAGTATTTAGTAAGATGAACTAGAGCCTGGGTCTATGATGTCTGGGCCAAAGCTATGTATCAAGAGACCCCTTGGGAGGATCCCAAGGGTTTCTCAGGGAACTGCAGGGAACCTCAAACCTGTGCTGCAGGCCTCTGTCAAGCAGCAGGCATGGGCAACTGGCCTTTCTCCCCAGGCTCCCAAACACAGGAGATGTGCAGGTGTACCAAAGCAAGAACTGCCATCAGCCTAGTGTCCACTTGATGGGACAGGGAGGCCTCCTTTCTGTGCTCCAGTCCCACTCGGACTGGGCTTTACAGGCCTGTCTGCCTTCTCTGCAGCCTCACCTATGCTTAACGAGCCTGCCCGCAATGTCCCAGTCACCTTACCTGGGTGCCTCACACCCTCACAACCACCCTGTGAGAGTTCTCCCAGAGTTTTACTGATAAGAAAATTAGCACTCAAAAGAGTTGGAGATTTAATAGGCACCCAAGTCCCTGTTCTTTTCATCCCTCATCCACCTCCCACATTCAATTCAGGGGAGAGACTGGCTTCCCGATGATTTCTTCTTATCCCTTATCAGACAAAATTGACTACATAAACCATAATGGTTTCCCCATCTGCCTAGGGATACAGGAAGCTCAGAACTAAATGTGGTGGGGATGTCTCTTTGGAGAGAAATCTCTGCTAGGTAAAATGTTATGCTGGGACTCTGGGCTTTCTGTCTCTAAACATATCTGCTGATCACTATGTAACTAACTTGTTTCTCTTTTATGCCTAGGTGGTTTTTGTGTTACTTTGGCCAGTCCCTAGTCCATGTCATTCAGGTGGTCATTGGCTACTTTGTGATGCTGGCTGTAATGTCCTACAACACCTGGATTTTCCTGGGTGTGGTCCTGGGCTCGGCTGTGGGCTACTACCTAGCCTACCCACTTCTCAACATGACTTAGTGGGCCAGACATGCATAGATGCTGAGGGCTGAAGAGAGCTGGGGCCTCTGTTCCAGGCATTGTACTTCCAGATGCTTTTTCTTATGATGGCCATTGTTCACCTCTTTCCCAGTTCCTGGCAGCTTTGAGCTGAAGCCAGCAAATGGTCCCTGGAGCTTAGAGGTCATTGGAGCTACCTCCCTTCCTAGCCCCGCCTACACAGGGCCTCCTGTGGTGCCTTAAGCAAGTAGCTGTGACCAAAGGGAAGATGGAAGAGACTGCAACCTGGAGGGAAGGTAGCCAGACCTGTGACCACAGATCTCAGACTTCAAATTAAAGTTTTCCAAAGAGCTTCAGTGAGGAAGGCCATGGAACCTGGATATCCTCTTCCGCTTTGTGCCTTAATGTCGGGGGCATCTCCCGTCTTTGGGGACAGACCATGCCAGCTCCTTCTCACCTTTTTGCCTTGGAACACATAAAGACTGCCATTGACAAAAGTTTTTCACTTGGACCTCCTAGTTGGCAATTTTGCACATTCTTACGAAACAAAGTTTCTAATGAACTCACTGTGTTCATGATGATGGCAGTGTCTGCTGAGACCCGGCTCCCTTTCTTAGGGATGCCTGATACTGATCAAAGGCAGAGCCAGGGCGGTTAGCAAGGCTGCAGACTGTCTGCTGTGCAGATGAGCTCTCCCCATCTGACAACACCGCCTGCGGCAGGTTCGTCTGGTGACCAGGGCCTTACCCCATCCTTTTGTGTGCACCACAGAGATCGCTGGCTGCCTCTTATTTCTTACTTGCTAATTCCTAATGACCTGGTAGGGAGCCATGAGTCAGTTGCTGGAGGACTGATTCAGCAGGGGTGTGTTGGGGGGGGGTGCTGACTGAGGGTGCAATAGAAGTACTGACTCGGCAGGGGTGTGACTGGGGGTGCAATAGCAGGCAAACCAAAGCCAGGTCATGTTAAGAGTTAAGTGGACTCCAGGTAGTTGAGCCTTTTCACTTTACAGAAAAAAGTTGAGAGACAGGAATGGGGACACGTACATGTAATCCCCAGGACCCGGGAGGCTGAGCCAGGAGACTGTGGGTTTGAGGGCAGCTCAGGTTACATACAGAGTTCCAGGCTAGCCACAGCAGTCACTGCTACATACTATATAGTGTCTGTGTTCAAGTACCTCATGGGCTCAATGAAAAGACGGTTTTAAGCTTTGGGAATTAAAAACAAATACACTTTAATAAATTTCTATTTTTGAACAGTCTGCAGTTGTTGGTCTGTCTCTCCTCTTTCCAACAGTGCACAACTCTTACATGTTACCACTGCAGGAGCTGGAACACTCGAGACCAAGGACTAAGATTGCATGTGTTAAAGACAACACTGTGTGCAGAGAAACTATGCCTAGAAATGTGCCTGTTGGTGGACACCAGAGTGTCAACTTAGTCATGTTAAGTTCATGTAACAAGCTATTGATTGTAACAGGTGTTAGCATATTGTGCATGGGGGACCCCCAGCTGGCCGGGCCAGGGTATCCCACAAGTGAGGGAAAACATGCTGGGCAGATGCAGCGGCGGCAGAAGCATGTGGACAGTCACTCATACCCCAGGCGCTGCATCCAGCATGATCTCTCGGTTCTCTGAGGAGACCCCTCCCCAGGCCATAGGACCTGTTGCTGTAGCTCTGGTGAGCCCAGGGAGAGAGAGCAGGAGGGCTCATGGGTCAACCTGAGAATGAATGAAAAGAAAAAGCTTGGGAGAGATGGCAGGATGCTTGTGACTGGCTGCAGGTGATCCTCCCAGCCTTTCCTCCATGGTAGGGCCACTCCCTGAGGGCTTTTACACCACCAGTTCTGCAGACAGGCTCATGATCCTCATCAATGGGCATTAGGTAGCCAATTCGGTCCCCTATGCCAGGGGTTCCATCCTTAACTTAGCCCTGAAGCCTGTCCTGGGAACGAGGAGCACAGGACAACATATTTTTCTCCATAACTGCTTCAAGCTGAAACGGGGCACAGGTGGTCAGGACTCTGGCTAGTTAAGGTAAGGAGGGAACCCAGGCAATGAAATGAGCTGGCAAGTTGGCTATATGGCCAGCATGTGGGGAGGATAGGTCTCCGGGCCTGCGGCTGAGGAACGCCAGGTCAAGAGCAGAGGACTCTCCTTGGCCCGTAAAACAAATACTTGCATAAGTGCTGAGGAGGCTGAGGTATGAGACAGTCACCCAGTTGAGGAGCAGCAGAGCTGGGACTCACTGTCCCCTCATCACTCAGATGAGGGTCACAGGTCACACAGGGCGTGCCTGTGGTATACACAAGTGAGTGGAGACTGAAGATGTTGTGTTCTGTTTCCACAATGGCTGGAAATTCTCCCGGATTTGGATGGGGCCAGGAGCCTACATTTTTCTTTTTTCTTTAGTGCTAGTCAGCTCCAGGGCTTGTGCATGCTAGGCAAGTGCTCTACCACTGAGATACACAGCCCTGGGACCCGTATTCCTAGCAAGCAGCATTAGCCCCTTTCCTCTACTCAAGGACAGGCAAGGATGGTGGACAAGAGCCCAGCTCTTGATCAGCTGGACAGGACCAGAACTCTTGTCCTGCTTGCTGGCTATGGAACTGTGGACAGCTTACTCTGCTCCACTACGTCTGGGGATAACAGGGCAGGACCAATGGCTCAGCAGTTAATAGCACTTATTGCTCTTGTGGAGGACCTGGGTTTAGTTCTCAGCACCCATAAGTAGGCTCATAACTGTCTGGAACGCTCTGCTGCTCTCTTCTGGCCTCTGCACACACATGGTACACAGACACACATGCAGGCCAAACACCCATGCACATCAAATAAAAACGAGTCTTTTTAAAAGTGGGGAAAACCGTATCTTCTTCAGTGACTGGCACTGCACAGACTGTCCCATAGCTACCACCCACTGCGGAAGACACCGTTCTCCACATTTTATAGAGACAACTGAGGCGTAGAGGTTAAAATAACTTGTTTAAATAACTGTTTAATACAGTCTTCCTTGATTTGTCCTAGACCCAGATGTGGGAGACCGGCACAAAGCCTGCAAGGGTAATGGCCAGATGCAGTGGAATTCAGGATACAGTCTTACAAACTTTAAAATCACGGAGCATTTTTGTTAAAAGTATTCCTTTTGAAGACTGGCTGCAAGGTCTTTGGAAGATCCTAGAATATGTAAAAGGCCACGTGTATTTTCTCACTGCTCTTCTCTGCAGTAGTGTTGGCCCCTGGGGTTCACAGGCAAGGGAAGAATCCCTCATATCAGGAACAGTGGATATTACGGGCTCCCACTTCTCTTCCCTGCATGGCTCCTTAGCCTGTAATATAGTCTGCAGAAATCAGTACAGGGTGGGACTGGTCCTCAGATAACCACGATGCCCTAAGCCTTATGCAGCTGTGGTCAGCTGGAACTGCAGACTGTGACTCTTTGAAAGTCCTCAAGTTCAAGGTCAGGTGCCAACAGAAATATATCACAGTGCTTTTGTGCACATTAACTGACCAAGTTACAACGTCCCTCCCTTAGGGTCCCAAGAAGGAGCATGACAGCCCTAGAAACCAAACTCAGTTTCTCCTCGAGGGCCCAAGTCAAGTTTTATTGTCAGCATTTATTTTAGTCTTGTTAATTCCAAATACTTATTGACCTCTTTTAAAATAAGATTTAAGGCAGAGATAGAAGATACATGTCCCAGAGCCACAGGCTAGGCCAGCATGATCTCTCGGTTCTCTGAGGAGACCCCTCCCCAGGCCATAGGGCCTGTTGCTGTAGCCCTGGTGAGCCCAGGGAGAGAGAGCAGGAGGGCTCATGGGTCAACGTGAGAATGAATGAAAAGAAAAAGCTTGGGAGAGATGGCAGGATGCTTGTGACTGGCTGCAGGTGACCCTGCTAGCCCTTCCTCCATGTAGGGCCACTCCCTGAGGGCTTTTACACCACCAGTTCTGCAGACAGGCTCATGGTCCTCTTCACCAGGTCAGGCAGGGGCTCAGATGGCAGCTAACCCAGATGTCTGAACCACTGTCCTCAGAATGTCCACCGGGACCTCACCCTGAGGCTCCCCGAGACCTGAGGCCGGCTGTGCAAAATCATGCTTGGGAAGGGCTGGGAGAGGAACCTGTGTGCCTGTTCCCTAGGTCTTCAGCCCAACCAGTCAATGTCATCGTCATCATCATCATCTCCAAAAAGGGGTGTTGGGGGCGGACGTCCCTTCATGCTCTGACAAAACAGGAAAGAGAGGTCAGTCCTCACACATCCCCGCCCAGGGGCTCCTGCCTATGAGGGGAAGTGGTCCAACAGCTGTCCTGCCTCTGGCTGGAAAGGAGATGAACCGGAAGGACAGGCTTTGTGGCCAGAGAACTGATCCAGATAAAGCTGAGACAAGCAGGCACGGAGGGAAGTCATCTTTCAACAGAGACAAAAGACCAAAGTTGCTTGGCTGATTTTGTAATTTATTTGTGAAACACGTATTGATAGGGCAGATACGTCAACTTAGAAATTTCATGTGGAAAAAAGAAGGTTCGTTAAGGAGAGATGGGAAAAGAGAAGAAACGGAAGCCAAGCAGCCTGGGACAGGAGAAAAGAGGTTCGGAGAAGTACAATCACATTAGAAAGCCAGCTGTGGCCTGAGGTGGCCAGAGAAACTCAGAAAGATGTGGATGCAGAGGCATGTCCAAACTCTCAAGTGGAGAATCCCAAGAGATAAAGAAAGCTCACAAAGGCAGGTCCCATGCTCTCTTTAATGGGAGTGTGGACTAAAGGGATAAAGGGTCCTAGGACCCTAAGAGTCCCAGCCAAAGGATACTGTGTTACAGGTGGTACTGTTGGAGGTGCTGGAAACCTTTTGCGATGGGCCCAGTAAGAGGTCTGGTGACTAGAGGCTGCCCTCAAAGGGGCAGTGGAACTCTGGCCCTCCTTTTCACTCTTTCACCTCCTAATATTAAGAGAATGCTTTTCCTCTATACATGTCTTTACCATAGGCCTAAAAGCAGTGGAGTGAACCCACCGTGGACTAAAACCTTTGAAACTTTGAGCCAAAATATCCAGTCTGTCTTTATACACTTCCTGTATCCAGCGTTTGTGCAGTAACAATGCTGACTAACACAAGGAGCCGGGTAGGAGGTTCTCCTGCTCTTTTCATGATTTAAGCTTCTAGCCTTTCGTCTGCTTTGGTCAGGTGACAGCAAGGCTTGAGGCTCCAGACAAGCATAACACATAACTATATTAGTAGAAGGCTAACTGAGAATGTGAAGTATTTTTCTGAATACCGAAGAAACAGATTATTAACTTGATAGAACTGGCAGTAATACCAATTAATATATTGCTCATCTTCTTTCCTCCTTCATTTTCTACGCAGAATTTGTAGTTAGTGTTCTCAAATGCAAACTGAACTCTCAGGAAGGCAGGCTAATGGGAGGAATACGGTACCTTCTCTGAAGGCAGGCAGGCAGGCAGGCAAGAGGGCCGGGCTCTGCTTCACCTGAGTTGGGTTCCAGATGTCACTGCCTTCTGGCAAAAAGCAAAACTCACTCCAAATGAACGGTACAGAAGGGCAACAGGCTTTGCCCATGTTCAACCTCCTAGTTCTGTCCTAGACTGAATCTAACACTCCTCTGTCTCCTCCACACACACTTTATAACAGTGAAATTCCCATTACAGAGTCAAAATGGTCACATGTCAGATGCCCAAGCCAGGGCTCCAATCCTGGCTCTGTCAGCAGCTTCCTTTGTGGCTGGCTCTCCTGTCCTCTCACTTGACTACACTGTCAACAATGAGCCCTGGGTGTGAGCTGAGAAAACAAGCAGCAGGGTGGAAGTGGGCTAGGGGAGCAGAAGTTCTCAGAAACAAGTGACCCAAGAGAAGCCTGGGCTCAGTCCTAATCTACCATCAGCCTCCTGTGAATGAATGATCCTTCTAACCTTTCTTTGTCTAGGAAGGAGGAGCGCCAACAAGCTGACCTTCAGAATCCTTCCCACCTTCCCTTACTGCAAACAGGACTGATTCCCCAGGGGACAGAGATTATGGCACCCTTTTAAGAGTACAGTGGCAGCTGGCCATCCCCACTCTGCTTACAGAGCTGCCCACTCTGGACCCCAAGCTCACTCCCACAAGGTCCTGTACACAGAGTCCAGGAAGTAGGCCACCAACAGACTCCTTTTCTCTTCTCCGAGCCTGCAGGGAAGAGCCCCCAGATGGTGCCATGAGGACTCAGCAGAGCCTGAGATTTCCTTACCACCTCGTCTTCATCCTCTTCCTCAGGCTGGACTTTGGGCCTTGGAACTTTCAGAGTTGCCCCTTTAAACAGCTCGTCCTCTTCATCCCCAGAGAGACTAAAGGAGAATCAAGCCACAGATATGTTGCTGTTTCTGCCTGGGTCACAGTGCCCACCAACTACAAGGGTCACGGGTCCTGAAGTGAGACCCACTCACCCAATTCAAATCTCTCTTCCTACACTGTGCATCCATCCCTCCAAAGACCACACCCTGTATAATCCCCTCCACAGTCCTACAATACATTGGTCCCTCCAGTCTATACCCTGTGTTAGCCCCTCCAGTCTAAACCTTGTGTCAACACCCCTCCACGGTCTATACCCTGAGTTAACACCCCTCCACGGTCTATACCCTGAGTTAACTCCCCTCCACAGTCTATACCCTGTGTTAACATCCCTCCACAGTCTATACCCTGTATCAGCCCCTCCTCCAGTCTATAATACTCTGTATTATCCCCTCCAGTTTACATCCTGTGCCAGCCCTCTTCCGGTCTACAGCCAGCACAATCTCTAAAGCTAATAAATCAGACTCCACTACTCTTCTACTCAAATCCTTCCACTGGTTCCTCGTTGTACTTGCATACAATTCAAGCCTTCACAGTGACATAGATGATCGCATATCTTGGCCCCTTCTTTGTGTTCCAACTTCAGCTTTACCCGACTTGTCCCCTACTAGACCCTCTTAGTTCCTATGGAGTGTCCATCCACCAGAGCACCTCTGTGTGTGCTCCTCTGTCTGCAAAGACTTCCTGCTGTCAGTCTGGATGACTCAGGACTCCTCGGATCACAGTTGAAATGCTACCTTCTCAGCAGCATTCCCTAACCACCTATTCTAACAGAATTTTCCTGCCTGATTCTCAGTACCAGCGCAGATTCTTTTGGTTAGCATGTACTTCACTGTTATAATATGTAAGTATGTATTTTTCTTCCCCACTAGACCGTAAGCTCCTCAGACTCAGAAACTATGCCGGCCTTGCCCACCACACTATCATGGGGCCTGCCACAGAGCCCTGTATGTAGAGCTGTTGATGAAGAAATGAATAAGTACAACAGCCAGTGTCATATGTCAACCCTGGAAAAGACAGATCACCTCACAAGCAGCCATCTTGTGCCTGCTCAGAGTACACACCTGCAGTTCTGGGAGTCCTGGTTGTGTCTGAGGGATGCTCCTGAAGCTGCAGAAGCAAGCTCTGTATCCAACAATGCCTCAGGGGGACCAGAGCTACTGACATCCTCAACTTCTCTGAGCTCAGGAGGCTGAGGTTCTCCTGGGCTTTCAGGGTCTAAGGCTGGTGGCTCCCCCTTCTCAGGGTCTGGGGTCAGTGACAATCTCCTGGAGTTTCCTTGCAGTGGGCCATCTGGGGCTACTTCCCTGACATGTTCTTCTCCCAATGGGTTGTCGGGCTGCACTGCTCTCTGGTCATCAGCAAGTGCCTCCTCACACTCAGAATCCACAGTTACAGGGCCTGGAGGTTTAGGTGGGATTGAAGTCGGGGGCCCCAGGACTCTGTGGGATGGGATGCCAGCGGGCTCAGGTGGGAGGGAGCTGTCTTTCATCTCTGAGGATGTCTCTGCTTCTGAGGACTCCTCTTTCCTTGTCTGTGTACCATTCTGTGGCATGGGGATATCCTGTGGAGGCAGTGGGGTGGTCTCCCCTGCTACCTGTTCTGACAGCACCTTGGGAGCCTCCTGCATCTCCCCACTTGGGGGTGCTGGAGACAGCTCAGGAGTGGCGGGACCTGGCTTCTCCAAGGAAGGTCTCGAAGGCTTCTCTTCTTCCTCCTCACTGCTATACTCCCCTTGCTCTTCCTCCTGCTGGTTCAACAGCTGCAGAGTCACCATCTGTTCAAAAGCCAAGGAGGAGATGAGCACTGAAAGAGAGACAGTGTGCACCGAGAGGTCTTCTGTCCCCAGAGGCACAGCTGCCACCTAATTCAAATGACCGTGCTTCTCCCTGTCGGAAGAGGCTGGCCACATCCATCCAGGCATATGTCATTTCAGAGATCCTCATCACTGATGGATGGTCTTGAGTAACTTTTTAAGTATGAGTGCTTAGACAGTAATTAAACAAAATGCCCATTTCAATGAACCAACTGGCAGCGTTCTAGCTGTACCTTGATTGTATGCATGATGGTCCTGAGGATGGTCCTGCCATCATAAGATTCCTCCAGCTCAAACTCTCCCCTCAAAGACTGGAACACCTGGTTCATGATCTTCTTGACCTGTGCCAAGATCAAAAAGGCATGCTACCAAAGTCAAGTCATTAAGTGATGCATTACAATTACAGAGCTGGAACTCTACAGAGGGACACAGATAGTCATGAATGTCTGGTGACTGCCACCGTGGAGAGGACAGTTTTAAAGGAGAATTTCCTGCCAAGGGCACTCAAGTGATAGTAAGTGTACAAGACTGCCCAAAGATCATTTGCTGATATGATGTAACTCCAACCATGAGTACCACAGCCAGCCGTGTGGCCTTGACCACAGGGATTAGTGGATGCTGGATGCTGGGTGCAGCACGATCCTCCAACTCTTCTCTATGATTTAGGGATACTTTCCATAGCCGTCAAAGGTTCAGAGGAATAGAGTCTCTTTGGGTTTGCTACCAGAGTGGTAGATTCTAAAGAATTAGTTTTTATGTCAGACAAGTGATGAATCAATAAAGCTGGAAAAACACTGTCAGCATGACACATGGGCCATGTTTTCTAAATACTTGATAAGCACATTCACTGCCTTGATAGGATAGGTTTTGCTGCTTCTTTGAATGTCAGCTCACCTTCTCTGAGGGGTCAGCAGCAGCTCTGACTGCAGGTGCCTGGGACTTATTCTTCTCTAGTTGCTGGAGGTGCTCATTCTGTGCGGTGAGGGCTGTGACCTGCGCCTGGAGAGCAGTGCACTGCAAAGTGAACAGACATGGGCTGTGGCCTTGGAACCTGCATGACTGTGACGGTCAGGAAACACACGAGAACCATTCTGGGAACAAGTCCTGACTTCAGCAAGGTCTGCTGGGCCCAGTCTTGGTCCTCACCCCAGACCAGCTGATGCAGGTCACTCTACTTCCTCAACAATCAACTCACAGCTTCCTTCCCATCAAGGATATTTGACTTGCTCCCAGTGAGGTCAAGAATATAATGAAAACAAGGGGGTATGAGTAAGGATAGTCACTTACATACAAATACTCAGCAACCTATTCACCTCCAAGACTGCCTCCAAGGCTTCCGAGTCAAGGGGTTTTAACTGGATAATGCAAGGAATTGCCCTTCGGACAAGGGACTGTCATAACATGTCCCTAAGTCACCTTCCAGCTCTCTCTAAAGTATCCCTCCATACCCCACGCTCTACCTGTCTACCTTACCACAGTTACCTGTCCTTGGCTCTGCTCAAAGGTCACCTCCTTTGGGACTCCCTCCCAGCAACTTTAGGCACTTCCTCTTCTAGGCTTCCTCAGACCACTTACCTCAGTTTCTTTTCTGTGCTATGTGACTATTGAGGGCAGAGTCTTGGCATGCCCTTTCTTTAACACAGAGACTGGAGCCAAACTAATGCTCAGTAAATATCTGCTTAGGGAATTAAGGGTCGGTCGAACAGTGGAAACAAGTCCTGGAACACTGCTGTTTTATCTTTTTCCAGGTTCCTGACCTGCCACCCTGTGTAAGCAAGTGAAGGATAACTAACTGCAAGTTCCACAAGCCTGGCTGTGTTTGCTAGCTGTTAATACCGCCTAAACTCACAGGCTGGACAGGACTCCCACAGCCTGGAGGCCTTGTGTTTCGGAGCTGACTCAGGGAAAGAAAGAACTACCTCATCCTGAAGGCGGGACAGCTTCTGCTGCTGGGCATCCCTCTGCGCGCAAACCTCCCGGTACTGCTGCAGGTGCTCATCCTTCGCAGAGGCCAAGAGATGCTCACACTTCGCTTCCCACTGGCTCTGCAGCTCGGCCTGTGCAAGAGACAGCTGCCAAAAGAAAAAACAGCTGTGTGTGTGGGGAGGGGTGTGAGTTGGGGGTGGGGTTCACATTACAACAGAAGAAGACCATTCTCCATAGAATTTAAAGGCCCTTGCCCATGTAGCTAGAAATCAGCTGTTGAAAAGATCTTAATGACTTTGAAAGTATCCTGTGATTCCTTCTTGGTCTCTATGTGAGTGGTGTATGCACGTGTATGTGTATGTATGTTCACACTCAAGTCCACACACAGAGACCGGAGGAGGATATCAGGTGCCCATCACTCTCCGTGACATTCCCTTGAGACAGGGTCTCTCACTGAACCTGGAGCTTGGCTGGCAGCCTGCAAGCCCCAGGGATCCTCCTGTCTCCACTGTGCACATGCAGTAATACCCAACATTTTACTGGGTATAGGAGATTCAAACTCAGGTCCTCATGCTTGCACAGTGTCAGTCCAAAGTAGCCCCCCAAAATGGCAGTGCTGGTGTCAAAGTCCTTAACAGGGCTCTGTCTGGGTACACAGAAACTCGCCTTTAGGCTTTCTTTTTAGGGATTCTGTTTATTAGGAACCTCCCCTAATCTACCACCAAAGGTCAACTACCCCAAAGGCCATCTAGTCCACATCGATCCAAACAGTCTGTATGAGCTCAAAGACCTCCACCCTGCTGGCTACCATATACAATTAGCTTGCTTTTCCACCATTTTGCTTCTCCCGCCTCTACCTCCCAGAGATAGTCTTGTGATTTGAGCCCCAATAAATCTTTCTTTTTAGCCATGGAGTAGTCCAGTTCAGGGGTTTCCCTGGACCCTCCTTACACACAGTACACACTCCTACCTACTCAGTCATACCCCAGTCCCAAAGTAAGTATAGCTTTTAAACACTCCGAGAGGGTGGCCCTGGCTGTCAGGATTTCCATTACCCTCCCAGGTGTGTATAAGCCATAAGAAACATCTTCCTAGGGAAGTGGAAGCTACATGTTCTCACTGTGTCCTTCACAACTCCCTTCTATTTCCAAGTGCCCGTTACCTGCTCTGCAGTCGCTTGGTCTGTGGACACTCGAGCCTTTTTCAAGAGCTGCCGAAGTCTGTCCAGTTCCTCCTGGTGTGACTTGCGAATCTCATCCATCTCCTCCTCTGCCTGGCAGCGCTCTTGAGCCGATTTCTTTTTCCTCTCTGAGAGGTTCTTAGGAACAAGAGAACCATCCTCAGCACTAGCTGAATAGTGTGGACGGGGTGGTGGTCAATGACCTCAGTGGGTCATTTCTAGGAATGGTTCCTTGTTGTGGGACATTTGTACACTGTGTGAAGATGTATTGCTATGATTGGTATAATAAAAAGCTAAATGGCAAACAGCTAGGCAGGAGGTATAGGCAGGACTGCTGGGCAGAAGAAAGGAGAGGTCGCCAGCCAGACACAGAAGAAACAGGATGGGTAGTACAAAGATGAGAAAACAAGCCTCATGGAAGAATGTAGATTAAAATATACGGGCTAATTTAAGTTACAAGAACTAGTTAGGAACAAGCCTAAGCTAAGGCCAAGCATTTATAATTAATAATAAGTCTTGGTGTCATTATTTGCAGGCTGGCGGTCCTGATGGGAAAGTACTACTACAAATGGCACCCAACATGGGGCATGTAAATCCACATAGGGCCTGAAAAAGCTGGGAAAAAAATTCCAAGTAGACTCAATGCTTGCTGCATATGGAGCACAGCTCTTTTAAGAGACCCTGCTGTGTAGCTGAGTGTTTGAATAGCTGGCACTGGGTACAAACTCTAGCTGCAGTCGGACACAAACTCCAGAGCTGGGACAGGTAAATGTGGCCCTGGGCCAGTACCCACTGACATGAGGCTAGGCTCTCACAGAACCGAGGGGGCATGGAGCCATTCACTAGCACCACTTGGCAGCAGTAGCCTAGCAGTGTAAGGTTTGGCTCACCTTGTCAGAAAACTCTGCAGATGCACAGAAAGCCAGGTCCAGACACACACAAAACAAACCTCTAAAAAGGTACAGTATTCTTAAAAGGGTGCTTAGGTACTGAAGACAAAAAAGAAAATGGGTATAGATAGTCATAGAAAAAAATAATTTAAAAATAATAAAGTCTTTAAAGAGAGAGTAAAGTAATATAAAATAATAAGCCACATAAGGATGAAAACACAGGGAGTTTGGACCTTATACCAGATCGTTATACCATTTTCCTTGTTACTAAATTTAGAAAAGAAACTTACAAAAGAATTGTAAAGTATATAAGTTTGAGATACATAAAAGCTTAAGTTTGGGGGCTGGAGAGATGGCTCAGAGGTTAAGAGCACCGACCGCTCTTCCAGAGGTCCTGAGTTCAATTCCCAGCACCCACATGGTAGCTCACAACCATCTGTAATGAGATCTGGCACCCTCTTCTGTATACATAATAAATAAATAAATCTTTAAAAAAAAAAAAAAAGCTTAAGTTTGTTATCTAAACAAAAGTTTTGAGATTTAAAAAGATATTTTGAGGATGGTAATGCACGTTATGATAGAAAATGATTTAGATATAAAACTTTAGATTCCTCAAGATAGGATAGATATTTTCTCTGAATATGCCAAATACAGATGGACTAAACATTGTGAATGTAATTTTTACCTGATAATTGTTCTTATTGTTTTTGTTTTACAATGTTAAAGTTAAAACATTTCCTTTTAATTTAGACAAAAAGGAGAAATATTGTGGGGTATTTATAGACTGTGTGAAGATATATTGCTGTAATTGGTGTAATAAAAAGCTAGGCAGGAGAGTATAGGCAGGACTTCAGAGCAGAGAGAGAACTTTGGGGAGAAGAAAGATGGGGTTGTCAACCAGAAGAAGAAGAAGGATGAACAGTGCGAATATAAAGTAATAAGCCTCGTGGAAGAACGTAGATTAAAAAAAAATATTGGTTAATTTAAGTTATAAGACCTACTTAGGAAAAAGCCTAAGCTATGGCCCAACTTTTAGAATTAAAATGAGTCGGCATGTCATTATTTGCAGACTGGCAGTCCCGACAAAAAAGCACTACTACAGTTCCTTTTTAAGCACCTCCTTTTATATTTTGTATCCCTGCTACTGGGTGAGATAAGTTATGACAAGGAAAAGACAAGCAACTGATCTGCTGCTGTTCTCTTAAGAGCTGGAGACAGCATAACTTTTATGTAGATACAAAAGGGCAGATACTCACATCGGGCTGGCTGGTGAGAAAATAAATGGACATAGTCTCTTTGGATGGTAATCTTTCAAAATGCTTTTTAAAATACATCCAGAAATGCTACAAATTGTAAATCTGTAAATTCTAGTCAAAGATTATAAGGTCAGTCACAGTGATAGTGTCTGCAACAAGGAGAAACTGAAAACAGCCCAAGATCAGAAGGAAGTGCTTTAAAAAGCACAACAGAATGAAAGAGGGCCTGGGAAGATGGCTCAGAGGGCAAGCCACTTGCCATCCGAGTGTGAGGACCTGAGCTCAGGCCCTCAGAACCCATATAAAAGCAGACTTGGTCTCAGCACTCCTATGGCAAGAGGGGAAGTGGAAACAGGAGCATCTTCGGAAGCTCGTGGGCCAGCTAGGGAACAACAGACTATCTCAAACAAGACCGAAGGTAAGCACTGCCACCTAAGGTTGTCCTCTGACTTTCATACACGTGTGCATGCTTCTGCTCTCATGATCTCTTCCTGCCTACTTTCACTGTGCGCACACACACACACACACACACACACACACACACACACACACACACACTTTTTTTTTTCTTTGAGACAGGGTTTCTCTGTGTAACTTTGGAGCCTTTCCTGGAATTCACTCTGTAGCCCAGGCTGGCCTCGAACTCACAGAGATCAGCCTGCCTCTGCCTCTCAAGTGCTGGGATTAAAGGCGTGTGCCACCACCACCTGGCAACATACACACACTTTAAAGTGATAAAATCATAGAAGATAAAGTCGTCTTATGTGTTTACACACAAATTCTGTGTAAACACAGATCAGGATTGGCCTTCTCTAAAAAGGTACTAGTCAAGAATAGCTTTACTAAAGGCTCACTGAAATCTCATTAACAGTTCTTCTTTTCATGTTAGACATTCTAGTACAAAGAAAAAGATAGCAATGCTCCTGCTTTGTCCAAGCCCTGGGTGATTACCCTGATATTAAAATTTTAATCATTAAAATTTAAAATAATATCTAACACAAAAATAGCAAGCTAGGGGAAGTGGGTTGAAAAGACAGCTCAGCAGTCTTTAAGAAAGCTTCCAAAGGACCTGATTTTGGGTCCCAGGCCCCATGTTGGATGGTTATAATCACTTGTAACTCCAGCTCCAAGGGATCTGACACCCTCTTTTGCTTTCCTGAGGCACCCAAACACAAAATAATAATAACAATGAGGGTTTGTTGGTGGTGGTGGTTTTTTTGGAGACAGTTTCACTATGTATACTTAGCTGACCTAGAGCTTATTATGTAGACCAGGCCGGCCTTGAACTCACACAGAATGTTGTGGAATAATCTTTTTCTATACTATGAATATGTATTACTTTCAATGGTTAATAAAAAGCTGACAGGCCAGTAGCTGGTCAGAAAGTTAGGTAGGAAAGCCAACCTGAGAATGCTGGGAAAGAGAAGGGCGGAATCAGGAGATACCTGCCAGCCACAAAGGAAGCAAGCCATGTAGAAAATGAGGTAACAAGCTACAAACCACATGGCAAAGCATAGATAAGAAACATGGGTTATGGCGCACGCCTTTAATCCCAGCACTCGGGAGGCAGAGCCAGGCGGATCTCTGTGAGTTCGAGGCCAGCCTGGTCTCCAAAGCGAGTTCCAGGAAAGGCGCAAAGCTACACAGAGAAACCCTGTCTCGAAAAACCCAAAAAAAAAAAAAAAAGAAAAGAAAAGAAATATGGGTTAATTTAAATTAAGAGCTAGTTAATAATAAGCCTGAGCCATTGGCCAAACATTTATAATTAATATAAGTGATTAACTGGAAGTGAGTGTGGGACAGGGCAGGACAGAGAAGAGCCTGTCAGACAGATCCACCAGTCTCTGACTCCTGAGTGGTGGGATTAAAGACATGTACTATTACATCTAGATGTTTTGTTTGTTTATTGTTGTTGTTGTTTTGGGACAGGGTCTCACTGGCCTTGACTGCTCTAGAATTCACTAGACCAAAATTGGCCTCAAATTCACAGAGATCTACCTGCCTCTGCCTGCTTCTAGAGTCCTGTGTCCTCGTGCCTGGTAAATCTTCAAAAAATGAGAATAAAATTTAAAAAGTATCAAGATGGAAAAATATTAGTAATGTTTATGGCTGACAAAGGATTAACACTCAATATTCTAATAGAAAAGAGGATGCAGGACTCCAAAAGAGAATTCACAGGAAAAATAGAAATAGGTATGAAATATATGAAAGCTTTATTACTAATAAAAACACATAGCTGCTAGACATGGTGGCACAGACCTTTAATCCCAGCACTTAGGAGGCAGGGACAGCAGTTGGAGGCTAGCCTGGTCTACATGGCTCCAGGACAGCCAGGACTATATAGAAAGTCCCTGTCTAAAAAACAAAAACAAACAAACAAACAAAAAGCTATTCAGTCTGTGGAGGTCCACAGCAGATTGAAATGAGAAACTAGAAACATACATATCTACTGGTCCAGCATAGGACAGCAGCTGCACAGTGGACTAACAGGAGACTACTGTGCATAGTGAGTATAGTGTCCTCAAAACTCTTTTAAAAGCATTCACTAGGAGCCCAGTATTGTTTAGAAAAACATACTATCAGTACGTGTTTATATAAGGGGATATGCAATATTTTATGCATACAGAGAGTAACCTATGTTCATGTGTTGTTTATAGTTGTTATTTATAACCCATACAATGAGAGAAGGAATTAAAAACAACTTTTTAATTTTATACTTTTCTGTATTGTTTGCACTTTCCCTAATACATTCATACTATAAAAAATGTAAGGGATTCTGGTCAGGGTTAGGAGATACAGGCATGCTGCATCTTAAGGCTTTGATGCAGGTGCTAAGCCAAGCCAACACCCAACGAGTCCAAAGCACCCTGTGAGTGCACAAGGACCTGAGCATCAAGCGCTGGAGTGGGGTGGCATGAGCTGCCTGCAGTACGCACTGCTGAATAAGGAGGGACTGTACTGGCCTACTCGGGCTGTGGGGGCACAGATGCCCGGGTCACCACTGCTAGCACCAGTAACCTCTGGGCCAAGTACAATCAGAATGGGAACCACGCGTTTAATGAAGACAATCTCAAATTTATCCTCATGGACTTATACGGAGGGCCATATAGCCATTACCAGGTGGCCAACCTTCTGCTATGTATGAATGCCAAGGAGACTGTAGGCTTCGGAGTGCTCAAGGCCCAGACCCAGGCAATTGCTGGAGGGCCTGGAGGAACCCTCACTCAAGTAGCAGCATCATAATAGAGGGATGGAAGCTGGATCAGAAAGGGATGGTGGTTGGGAGGAGCAGAGCTCTGGAAACACCTTATGGACTGAGCACAGGAAGGTGGGACTTTCACTTTTTTTCTGAATAAATTTCAACTCTTAAAAAAAAAAATGAAAAAGAAAATGGTGTATTAATCAGCTATGCCTGGCCACTTGGCTCCAAGAGGAACTTGGCTTTTGGAATTCACCTTTTCCAGGGACTCCTTCTCAGCTCGGAGGTCAGTCAGTTCTTCCTCCAGGGATGTCACCTTGAGCTCCAGCTGTCTCCGGCTCTGCTTTTCACTTTTGAATCTGGACTGTGTTTGCTCAGAGGCTTCTCGGAGCTCTAGGACAGAGGAGCAGGGAGACATGACTGTAGAACCAGAGATGCAATGGGCACTGTGGCATCTCCAGAAGCTCTTTCAAAGTTGCATGCTCTAATCTCCCAATCCTACCATACGAGCCTCCCTGACCTGCAGAAAGGATTAATAAGCCCTCACGGACTCTACTATCAAGCCATGTTTACCCTGAGAAGGGTAACTTCTATATGTATATACCTCCTTGCACACATGCAAAGTGTGAGAGAATGGTCTCTGAACAGTCAGAGACCACCTTCAACACTGATCACTCCTACAGTCCCGTTTCCATTGCCATAGGACCACATGGAGTGTCTCTGTTGAGGAGAGCTCAGGTCCCTTCTCACTGCCTGGGTAAGACTCTCAACTTTCTTGGTAGCTAAGACATTTGACTGAGAATTTGCTTTCAAAATATTCCTTTTCAAATAAGGCTGGGGGTGAGGGTTATCTTTTAATTTAGTATACTAAAACTTGTTTGAAAACTGGCTCTTGAAGTAACTATCACAAAGAGCTGTCAGAGGGAACCACAGAAACAGAGGTGAGATATCTACACGATACTCAAGTCAAAAATTGTCCAATATGTTTGTTTGAGGTGGGCCAACTACTGCTCTGTAAGAGAAAGGGTGCATCTGCAAGGAATCGCCTTCCAATGCTATCAGTGATTCCGAGCTTTCTCTTAGACAAGGAACTGTGCCTCTATCCACTCCGCTGCTGCCTCTGTCCCTGCCCACTCGTCCCAGTTCCTTCCACACAGGTTTCTCTATACCAAGACAACATGAGCCAACATGCTGGCACTCACTAGCTTCTAGCTAATCAGCGTGCCTTAGTCATTGCCCTTGTGCCAAGCACTGACGTAACCCTCATATGGAGGAAGGAGTTTTACAAAGAATAAATCACTAACTACCCTTGCCCTCCAGGGACTTGTATTCTAGAGGGAAGAATAAACTTATAAATGACGCTTATGGAAGGTCAGAATAATGCACTTAGGGATCAAGGACTTGAAAGGAGAGATCAAATGGTCTAGAAAAACTGTGCAAGAGGCAGACTTTAGAGAGGACTGGGGCACTGCTGGTGGTGAGTGAGCACACCAAGCGACGGCTGCACCCATCTAAACACAGCTATTCCAAGAGAAGAACGTGATGAGACTCAAGCAGGGAGAGCAGCCAGGAGGCCTGTGGTTAGGGCAGATTCTCGGCAACAGAGCAGGAGGTGAGTGCAGGACAGGGCCTTGGTCCAAGCTGGTGCACTGTAATCCACGCTCCAGGAAGGCGGCTGTCAACCACAGCGGGAAGTGCTTGTTTCTTAAAACTCCACCATGTTACTAAGTAACAAAGATGCTGAAGCAACATTTCCTCAAACAGAAACAGTGTGACTTGTCCATTACAACGGAATTGGGGGAGGGGTGTCTTCCTGTTCCTCATGTAAAACAACCACGTGGTTTTTCTACCAGTCCTCCTCGATGCTCAGTACTTCATGTGTGTATGGATACTATGCCAAAGGAATTGACAGGAAGGAAGCCATTTAACTCCTTCTCCCCTGAGAACTTACCCGCGAGGTCGGCCTGGAGTCTGGTGACCTGGCCCCTGAGCAGCTCTGTCTCTTTCAAGCTTTCTGTCAGCTGCACCTGCAGCTCTGTCTCCTTCTTCTGGTGAGCTGTGATTTTCAGCTGCAGGTGAGAGACCCGAGCAGTGGCGGCTGCTAACTCTTCTGTCACCTTGGCCTGAACAGTGACAAAGGGTGACAGCATTTAGACACAGGCATTCCAAGTGCTGATTCAACCTCATGGGACTCTAAGTTGATGGTACTGGTAGACAGGAAGGGAGAGAAGGACACCTTCCACCTGCACTGGGTTAAAATCAAGACTTGAAAACGTACAAGGGCTCAGACTGACTTCTGGTGCAGGAATATGTACTTAGGAAATACTACACAAGCCAGGTGTGGTAGTACACACTGTAATCCCAAAGCTTGAAAGGATAAGACAGGAGGATAAGGAGTCGAAGGCAAGCCTTGGTTATATTAACAAGACCATCTCAAAAGCAAATAAACAGAGAAACCAGTACTGTAAGAGTTGCCAAAAAGTTTGTTACAAGGCTGTTCAATGTAGCATTAAGTTTTAACAGAATGTAGAACTAACATAAAACACTGAAAAGATTTAAGCAAGCAAAATAGGAAATGCTCATCCTGTGGGCTATCAAAATTGTGTTTGAGCCGGGCGGTGGTGGCGCACGCCTTTAATCCCAGCACTCGGGAGGCAGAGCCAGGCGGATCTTTGTGAGTTCGAGGCCAGCCTGGTCTCCAAAGCGAGTTCCAGGAAAAGCGCAAAGCTACACAGAGAAACCCTGTCTCGAAAAACCAAAAAAAAAAAAAAATTGTGTTTGAGAAAGAACACTCGATGGCATGGAATACAGCTGGAACCTACAGCTAAATGAAGACTATAAGCAGATTATCACATAGTATGGTAAGTATTATTCTGTTTTTGTAAAATGACCCGTATGTGAAGGAAAGAGCTTGCAGGGCATTTTCCATCAATGGCCAAGCTAGATAGAAACTCGGTGCTTCCTACTTTCTTCTTGCTGACTGGATTATATTTTACATGAGCCTTTCAAAAAGATGTTTCACAGATTAGTCTTTAAAAAGATAATGTGCTATTGCTCAAATTTTTTTTTAAGTATTTAAAAAGTAAACAGTGAGAATCTCCCATGCTATACAGTTCTGCCTTGCCTCATATTGATAACCACATAGAAGTATATTTCTTCAGGAGCTGGCAAGATGGCTCAGTGGGTAAAGACTGACAACCAGAGTTTGATTTCCAGGACTCACATAGTGGAAAGAGAAAATCGATACTGGAAAATGGACCTCCACATGTGCACTGTAGCAAATACATGGTCATAAACATATATGAACACAAAATAAATAAAAATGTAACAAAAGCCGTATGTATTCAATTTGTGTAAAGTGATTCTTATATACATACTGAGTCTTCACGCCTTCCAGATAAAACAGCAGATAAACTATATAGTCTTCAGTAGTACATATGGGTCTTCTCCCTTCCCCCGCTTTTTAAAATCAATATCATATTCTACCATGTGGCTATAACATAGTTTATTCTGTACTGTAGCATACATGCATTGTTTCTGGCCTTTCTCATTACACCAGTGAGCATCTTAGATCCATTGTATGCAGTGATCCCCTGATTGCAAGAGTAATGTAGAACATTCATAGGTACAGAGTGCTAGATCGAAGGAAATCCACTGCAATTTTGTATATCATTGGTTCCCCTCCAGCAGCTACTCTATACATTTCATCACTCATTGCCAAAGTTCTCATCAAGCTGATGAGACATGGAACTTGGGCCACTTTCTAGCATTTCTGTGATAGACAAGGACCAAGTTTAAAGAGACTAAATATTCTCCAGAACTTATGATGCAGGTGATATGACGGAAAACTCCTGGGTGGTATTCTGAACACTAGTGATGATGGTAATGATTGTAAGGATGGTCAAGAAAAGTCAGCTACTGCATTCACTGCCTTGAACTGCTGTGCTTCCCATAACACAAAGTCAGACATCAGCAAAGGCAGTGAGGGTTACTCTGTGGGTGGCAGGCTTGTTTCCGTCAATGGGGTTGGGCTGACTCCCCATGCTATGATATTGCCACCATGACCCCCTCTCCACTGTTATACTTTATGCACACTATACAGTTGTCTACTTTTGTCTTATTGTTTATAGCTTCTTATGGTATCCACCATGCACACCAGTTTTTACAGGATTTATTTCTAGGGCTGGGATATATCTCAGTAGTGGAACACTTGCCTAGCATAAACTAGGCCCTAGTATCACATATACACTAAAGTATTTATTCCTTGTCTTATTCTCAAGCATTTATCAACTTTCTAGCTTTCATTTAAAGTCTGCGGTTTTGACTCTCCTAACAGTGAGGGAAATGAAACAAAAGTATATATGAACTAAAGATAAATAGGCCATGAATCTGAGAGTATATGTGACCTTTACAGTAGGCGTTAAGATAATTTTTGTCTAGAACCTCCAGAGTGGGCTTCATCTTTCTCACATGGAATAAAGTCTACTTGCTGTTTTGCTTCACACAGGCATGAAAACTGAACTAACATAGAAGTCGGACAGTTCTGCACCTCTGTGGAGCCTAGGGAGCTCACCAATTACAGCAAAGCCCCTCACAAGACCTGGAAGACCCCTCTGTCCAAAGGACAGAGTAGGGGACACTCAAAAGTGCTTCCCCACACTTTCTTTTACAGTGATGTCTCACCATTTAGCCCAGACTGGCCTTAAATTAATGATCCTCTTACCCAAGCCCAAGTGCTAGGATTATAGACATGCACTACTATGACCAGCTTCAAAGTTGTTTTTGTATCAGATCCTTACCTAGAAAGGCCTACTACAGAAGCATAAAAATATTCTCACTCAAACACATGTACATATGCAAAGACATCAGCAATACATTAACCATGGTTATCTTTGAGAAGGATTATGGGTGATTTATGTGTTATGGTTTTTTTGTTATTTTATTAGAATGAACAGATTAAACTTTTATAAGTTGGGAGAAGGTACACGTGATGATGTGTGTGCATGTAGATATTTACAGACATAGTCACAATATTTTAAATATTGTCAAGATAGGCAATGTCAAGGGGAAAAGGAAATCAGCAGAAACCTACATGGTAGTGGGAGGACTCTGATTGCCACCCTGGAACAATGTCCACCGTCGAGGTAGAGAGCTGGGAGAAGAAGCAAGGATCAAAGACAAGGAAGCATTTACACTAGAAGCAGGAAAATAGCATCAGGAGAGAGAGAGACAGCACTCTGATGTGAGAGGACAGTGCTGGAAACGAGCCCTGAGCAAGTCCTGTCTATCTTCTGGGCCTTGATTTGTTCTTTTAAAAATAAGTTCATTGAGCTCAATTCCTCTAACAGCTTTTCCACTTTGAATCATTACTTCATAAGAAAATGGATTCTTATGAATCGATTCCATCACAGAGAAAAAGTTTCACTTACCAAATATTCATTGAACACTTAACCATATTTTTCTGAGAAGTGCTTGGAGGCAGACATCTGCCCCTGAAAGAACTGCTGGTCTCTCTTTACAAGAGATCACAGGGAGACTGCTAAAGTAGATCAAAGCTGGTGCACACCTTAAATCCCAGCACTCGGAGGAAAAGACAGGCTTATTTCTGTGAGTTCAAGGCCAGCCTGGTCTACATAGCTAGCTTCAGACCAGCCAGCATTACATAGTGACACCCTGTCTCAAACAGCAAATTTAAAAACAGAAGTAGATTATCCAGGGATAGTGGCACACATCTGTAATTCCAACACCTGGAAGGCTGAGCAGGAGACTGAAGAGTCTGTGGCAGCTTGGGTTACATACCAAAACCCTGGAAAAACCTGGGCTACACAGTAAGAACCTATATGAACAAAAAAAGAAGAAAAAACAACTACCAGGGGACAGTCAAGGCTTAAAACGTCTGGCTGAAATCATGGTGATAGGTGGAATACATGGACAGGCCCTATCATCAACTGGGAGGTTCTCTAGAGGAAGCTGGGTCCGCTGCTGCTGTTCTACTCCTGCTGTTTGACTATGACACATGGGACACCTGCTAGGCTCCATGCCAGACAGGTGGAATTTTAAAGTGCAAAACCACAAGTGGATTAGCAAGCTAAGTACGAGTTTGATAAACTACACCAAACTGGACCACTACTTGAGTGAGGAATAAAGTTTCACTGGAACATACTTGTGAATACATGTATAGACAACAGTGCCAGTGAACATGAAAGTCACATGTTGAACTTAAGTAAAAGCAAAAGTATCCAGATGTCAAAAAAGAAATGACTTTTATACCTGGGAATAGAGAAGAGCTTTGGAAAAGTTTTATCTTGGCTGCATATACTAAATTAGAAACCCAGGAGGTGAGGCTTCAAAATATGTAATTCTGATCAAGTTTCCCAAGCAACTCCGAGGTTGCTAAACCACTCTTTGGGCATTATTGGTCTATAGAATAAGTCATAGTCATCATTTACCCCTGAATAGCAACAGTGAGGATAAACAGTATATTTGGGTGCCCAGTAGGCCTGGGGTTGGGGAGATAAAGAAAAGGAGAGGGAAAATAAAAATAAAATCAGAGAAAGGAGACATAGTAAGGCACATTTTGTGGAGAGCAATGAAGTTGCAGGCTGCTGCTCATGACCAGGTCGTTAGTAGACGGCCACAACAAACAATGAATGAAGTAGCACTGGGAAAGAAACTGGGCCGGAACAGACAGGGCTGTGCAGGGCCAGGCACAGCGCATCTGTGGATAGGTGGCTGTCTTAGTTACTGTTCTACTGCTAAGACACCATGGCCAAAGCCAGAGGGCTTGCTTCCAGTTTAGAGGGTTGGTCCATGATCATCATGGTAGGGAGCATGAAAGCAGGCAGGCATGGCATGGTACTGGAGCATGGCTTTGAGCTCACATCTGATCCACAAGTTATAGGCAGAGAGAGCAAGACGAGGCCTGGTGTGGGCCTTTGAAATCTTCAAGCCCACCCCCAGTCACACAGCTCCTCCAACAAGGTCACACCTCCTATCTTTCCTAAACAGTCCACCAACTGGGAAACAAACATTCAAATATATGAGCCTATGGGGGCCATTCAAACCACCACACTGGCCAAAGACATTACTTACTGGATAGTATGGCTAAGCAAACACAAAAGTTAGCTTGAAACATAAATAAGGAACCCTTATTATCAGAGTATAGGAAAGAAAGTCAAAATCACAAGTTATATGTTCATTCTGTATGTTTCCAAGGAAAAGTCAATTATAAAATATGGACTGCTTAGAATTTCATGAAAAAATACAAGATAAAGAGCAAAGATTTCCCAGCTGAAGAGTGATGACCCAAATACAAAGGAATCTGTTCTGGACAGTGTCCAGTAACAAAAAGAGGGAAATTGGACTCCAGAATTAGTTGACTCCAACCCAACACTCACTAGCATATTTCTCCCTTCTATTCAGAGCAGATCAAAATTCCTACTCTGAAGGACTAAAGTCACAGTAATTCATGCCCCCTCCTTCTTTCCTTACCTATTTATCTATCTGTCTGTCTATCTATCTATCTACTATCTATTTACTGTGGCAGGGTCTCGTGTAGCTCAAACTTTGGCTTCAGACTTTCCACCTAACAGAGAATGACCTTGAACTCCTGACACTCCTGCTTCTATCCCTATGCTCTGGGACTATAGACATGTGTCACCATGTCCAACTCCATTATTTTCCTTCTGTTTTGTTTCTTGAGACAGAATCTCACTATGTAGCCCCAAATGGCCTGGAATTTGCTATGTATACCAGGCTGACCTCAAATTCACAGAGGTGAGTTTGCCTCTACCTCCCAAGTAACAGGATTAAAAGTGTGTGCCATCTCGCCTGGCATGTTATTAAGGAAAGGTCTCACCATGTAGTCCAGGCTGGCCTGGCACTTGCCACGTACCTCAGGGTAGACTTGAACTTACAGTAATTCTTTTGTCTTGGCCTCCTAAGTCCTGGGATTACACACATATGCTACCTGTCTGGCTCCAAAGTAGCACTTTAAAATGGTTTTGTCAGACTCAAATGAATAACAAACTAAACACAAACAAAAGATCAAATTAGACAATCCTAAATTCCACTAAGAACAACATACAAATTTATTACATAACATAATAGAAATTTTCTTTTGATTCTATCAAAAGAATAAATTTAGCTTCTGATAAACTATAATAGTCTCATACTTATCAAATTATTAAGACAAGCAATTGGATTTTTTCTTTCTTTTTGAGAGACGATCTCACTAGGTAGCTCAGATTGCCCTTGAACTACAGACTCTCCTGCCTCTGCCTGTCAGAAGCTGGGATTACAGGCATAAAACCTCACCCCTAGTTCAATCTTGTTTTTGAGTCAACTTCCTACAAAACATAGTAAAACAGATCTAGAGGTGACTAATACATGAAAATCTGTTGGATTTCTAGGTCTGTCCCCAAAGATGACAAATATCCTGCTGAACAGAAACTTGGAAATTCTTATGTAGGACTACTCCTCAGCTCAACATATCCCGACCTGGGCCTTCCTCTGCCCGGCTATTTTACCTTCTCTTGTTCAGCATGCAATACTCTTGCCTGTGTGTTTTCTGTGGCTGTTTGAAGTGAGTTGTTCCTCTTCTCCAACATCAGGTTACTCTGCTCAACATACCTGAGACAGAAATAAAGACAAAGAAAATATTTACCCAGCACTGAATGTTTGAAAGGCACAAGTGAACCCACTCAGTTCTCACATCATTGTTTTACACTTTCATCAGAAACAATCTAAAGGGAGCTGGAGGAATGGTTCATAGGTTAGGAGCCTTCGATGTTCTTGCAGAGGTCCTGGGTTCAGTTCCCAGCACCCACATGGTGGCTCACAACCATATGTAACTCCAGTTCCAAGGGATCCAGCTCCGTCTTCTCTCCCAGGATACTGCACACACACAATGCACAGATATGCAAGCAAAACATCCATATGCACATATTTTTTTAATCTTAAAAAAAAAAACAAATAATCTGAAAGCACTTTGCTTTCCCGATACCTGCAGTAATTAACCAAGATATCTGCAGTAACCAAGGAGGTGGCAACCCGGGCCACAGAAGAATCGCTCTGCATAATGAAGGCAGACATTCACAGGGTGTGTGCTAATGGGAGATGGGGAGGAAAGAAAAGGGGGTAAGAAGACTGTAAGCCTTCTCTCATGGCTCTAAGCCTGATATGAGAGACAACAAATACTAGGCGAGAAATACAGGGAAAAATGGCTTTTTCAAATGAAATACATTGAGACTAGTACTGTTTACCTTTTCACCCTCACAAAGCTCAGAAGGATCCATTAAAAACTACAAAATGACTGTGCTTTATGAAATCAGTGAGGCTCTGGTCGAGTTCTATTGATAAAATAATCCATACAGAAAAGAAAAGTGGACACAATTTTCTACGTAACATGATTTTCAGAAATGAGGAAGCTAGGCTTGCAGAGATAAACGAAATACCCAAAGCCACACAAGAATGAAGGGCAGAGCTGAGGGTCTTACACCAAGCACAGGCACCTCAGCGGTTTCTCCTGAAGCAGTGAACAGGTAACTCACACAACAGGCAGAACAGGTATGGCTGAAATACATGGACGGGTGAATAGGTGGCAGCTCAGAGAGAGGTATTGTGTGCTTAGTATGTTCAAGGTCCTTGGGTTCAAGAAACACAACACAACAAATGTAGAGCAGAGACTTGTGATTAATATACTGCCCTCAACAAACGTGTGTTAAAGTGGACAAATTACACTAAACCCTTTGCCCACCCTCCCCCAGCCTTGTCCCTGTCCTTACCTCTGGTTTCGTTCAATGAGTTCACTAATCTTGTCATTCTGCTCTTCTATCCGACTGCTTTTCTCAAGGACCTCCTGCTTCAGCCTCTCGTTTTCCTGAATCCAGACACACAACACACAAGGTACGTGTTTTAAAAGTGCCCACTTCCTCTCCACTCTCTGCTTCCTGGCTGCAGCACCAACGTGACCAGCACCTCACGTTCTGCAGCCAAGCCTTCCTGCTGTGATAGACTGTATCCCCAAAGTATAAGGCAGAATAATTGAACCCATGGGTAGCTTTGTGAACACATTTTCAAACAAACACTAAAACTTATTTCCCCACAGATGTAACTGTTAAAGCAACAAACTGAATTACACCTGATGGATTCTAATCACTAGGCTAGATAGGTTGAGGACTGAAATGGTCAGAAAATGGAGTGAGAATTTAAAATTGGGACGAAAAGCAATGTTTCTTTTTGACTACATATAGTATAAATCCCAATGCACGTAGAGTACAGTATAATATAGCTTAGTATAATAGAGTATATAGTACAATATAGATGGTTGTGGTTCCAACATGAGACGCCACCTGCATGCTCATGTGTTCAATACTTGATCTCCAGCTTGGGATGGACTGAGGCTGGGGTCCAGTTAAAGGAAGTGGGTTACTGAGGGTGGTCCTTAAGGGTTCCTAGCTAGGTCCCACTTCCTGTTGGCTCTCTGCTCAATGGGACCAGTTGTCTCACCCTCTGCTACCACTCCTACCTGCCATGATAAGCTGTATGCCTCCAAACTAGGAGGCAAAACAAACCCTACTTTCTTAAGAAAAATAACTAATACGACAGTGTAAGTCATAGGAGCAAATTAAGCCACTGGTTTGTCCAACTGCAGTATTCAACACATGTCATCTCTCGGGGCGAGGGACAGATTTCCAAAGGGTAGCACATCTGAGGAGGGAGCATGGACAAGCTCTCCAGGCTGAGCTGTGCTCCCCATTACCCTCACCTGAATGATTCGCTGGATGTTGCTCATAATCATGCTTGTTTCCATTGTGACTGGCATGTTAGGAAGAAGCAGAGAACTGCCAGAGCTACGCTTCTGCAACTCTTCCACCTGTAAAAGGGGGGTCAGAAAGACCCTGTGAACACGCTTAACTGGAGAGATACAACTCACCCAGGACCAACCGCTTCTTAAGGAAAGTTAACAAATTTCTGAGACAATATCTAAATGTAAGCCTGCATTCTCCTGCTAACTTGATCCCAAAGTAAAAATAACCACCCTTCTAGGGAAATGACTAAGGACTGTGAATATGGGAAACCAAGGAAGAGTTTTCTTATGGCTGTGGCTTCTCCTATTTACATCCTACTTATTGTCTACTTCCTGTCTCCCCCACCCCCTTTTTTTACACTTTTATTTGTTATCTCTTTTTAAAATTTAAAATTTTTTTTTTAGATTTATTTATTTTATTTTATGTGTCTTGAGTGTTTTGCCTACAAGTATATATGTGCACCATGTGTGTGCCTGGTGCATCAGAGACAAGAAGAGGTATCAGATCTCCTGGAACTGTGAGGGCTGGGAATGGAACCTTGGTCCTCTGCAAAAGTACTCTTAATCACTGAACTGTCTCTCTAGCCCTCTATTTATTATTTCTTTATTACAATTTCATACATATAAATAATGTCTTTATTATACCCACCTCTTTTATTAAAATTAGTATTTATTTATTTATTTTATTTTATTTATTTATTTATTTTTTTTTTTGGTTTTTTTTTTGTTTTTTTTCGAGACAGGGTTTCTCTGTGTAGCTTTGCGCCTTTCCTGGAACTCGCTTTGGAGACCAGGCTGGCCTCGAACTCACAGAGATCCGCCTGGCTCTGCCTCCCAAGTGCTGGGATTAAAGGCGTGCGCCACCACCGCCCGGCAAAATTAGTATTTATTTATTCAGATTATTCTATGCATTATTCTGTGTACATATGATATATGTGAATATAGACATGTACACCTGTGTCACAGCACATGTGCTGAAGTCAGAGCATACGCAGGAAGCAGTTCTCTCTTTCCATGATGAATTTCAGGAATCAAACTCAAATTGCTGGACTTGTTCAGCAAGTGTTTTTACCTGCTGAGCCATCCCTGGCCCAACTGGTCCATTTTGAACAGAGCCTCAGCTCTGACTCAGTCACCTTAGTCATGAGATGATCCATTTTATCAGCCACTTTGCTGACTGCCATTCGAATTTCAGTGTTGTGTTGTCGGGCTTCAGTCATGAGAAAGGACATCATGTCACCTGATCCTAAACAGACATGAAAAGGAACTTATAAACCAGGAAAGAGGAAACCATGCCTGAAAAAGTCAAGGGCAGTTTTAGCAGAGGAAGGAAAGGACCTCTTCCATGTACTAGGAAATGCAGTAGGTGATTTTACACTGTCAGGAAAAGACATGGAAGAGGGAATAGAGACAAAAGGACTCCCAAGCTAATAATAACTAGGTTATATTTCTGCAAAATGCATCCAGGGCTAGAGTCTGGCCCAAGTGCACACTGGTCCAATTGTATATCCACTTTGGACTACTATAATCCTGGCACTTACATTGCTTCCCCTTTCACCTAGCTGTGTGTCAGGCATTGCACAGGCACCAAGAATACAGTCGTGTAGGCTGGGCGGTGGTGGCGCACGCCTTTAATCCCAGCACTTGGGAGGCAGAGGCAGGTGAATCTCTGTGAGCTCGAGACCAGCCTGGTCTACAAAGTGAGTTCCAGGAAAGGCACAAAGCTACACAGAGAAACCCTGTCTCGAAAAACAAAACAAAACAAAACAAAAAAAAAAAGAATACAGTCATGAGTAAGACATGGTCCCAGATCTTAGTGGGCTTCAATTTGGAAACTGACATATAGACAAATCATTACAACAGAGTATTTTAAATGCAAGATGGGCATAGCAGCACATGACTGTAACTTATGAGGCACACAGAAGATTCAGAGTTGAAGATCAGCCTGGGCTTCATGAGATACTATCTGAAAAACAACTTTTTAAGGAACAAAAAATAGGCCATGTACAAGGTACAAAAATAGCACCTTAAAAGTAGTACTAACTTTCTGGGGACATTCATACGCACTTGTGTCTATGGGAGCAGTGGATGGAGAGGTGCTGAGCCAGAGGAAATGTCAGGTTGGAGGGATGCAAAAGTGTTTCAAAGATGGAGAAGGGACAGGGCTCCAGATAAAGGCTGCATTTAGGAAGCCCCTTCCCACTGCAGAACTGCAAGTTAGGCTGTTGGATACACTAGCTTCCTCTTGCACTATCGGGTGCCAAAGTGATTACCAAGCAAAAGACAGGCTGCACACAATGGCAGAAAACCCACACCTCAGTCAACATTTCACTACTTCGTTTACAAAACACACCTATGCTTGCATAAGTACATAAAATACACACAAAGTTGCCCAAGCAACTATGAGAGATGCTCTCCTATGGGCAGAAGTTTAATGACAGAGAGGACAGTTACCTTTATTTTATCCCATTTCGTATTGTTTGACATTTTTACTAAAGTGATTTACTTTCCTAATTTACAAATTTTAACAAAATAGTTTTCATCTGAGGCACTCAACACCCACAGTAGTCCTCATGCTTCCTCTCAATCCCTCCAGTGTTTGCTCTTTCACCATCTGCTATAGGCTCTAGTCACTTTGACAGAAGAATTAAAAAGGCTGGTAGGAGAGCATGGAGGGAAAAAGACCCAGACCGTGGGTACAAAGGGACTTTGGGGAAGATGCAAATGTTCTAAAAAATGGATTGCTGTGACAGATGCACTGCTGTGGGATAATTCTTTTGTGCACTGGTTTAATAAAACGCTGATTGGCCAGGAGCCAGGCAGGAAGTACAGGCGGCACAAGCAGACAAGGAGAATTCTGGGAAGGAAAAACAGAACTGAGGAGGAGATGCCAGCCTGCCATCCAGGGAGCAGCATGTAATGACACACAGGTAAAGCCAAAGAAAACTTGGCAACATATAGATTAACAGAAATGGGTTAGTTTAAGTGTAAGAGCTAGTCAGTAGTAAGCCTGAGCTAATAGCTGAGCAGTTTTAATTAATATAAGCTTCTGTGTGTTTACTTGGGTCTGAGCAACTGCAGACCGGGCAGGACACAGGAAAACTTCCAACTACAATGCACAACTCTGAACTTTTCCTAAAGAAAAAAAAAATGCTGGGGTCTGGGGAGATGATCAGCCAGTAAAAGTGCCTTGCTCCATAAGCTCAAGGACCTGAATTTGAATTTCCAGCACCTACCAAAAATAGTAACAGAGGAAGTTGACCATGGTTGTATATACATGGAACCCCAGCACTGGGGGTGGACACAGGTGGATCTCGAAAGCTTCCTGGCTAGGTGGTCTATGCAAAAATGGCAAGATTTCCAGTTCACTGAGAGACCTAGTCTCAAAACAATAAGCTGCAGACCAATAGAGGAAGACATCCAATGTCTTGCTCTGGCCTCCACATATATGTACACAAGTACGCATACCTGCATACTCATATGCATGCACACATATATACATACACAACATGTACTATATATACTATATTTAAACATATATTTAAATGAATTATATGGTACATAAATTACAACTCAACCAAGCTGCTAAAACAAAACAATGAAAAGAAAGAAAGGATAGAGAGCTGTTGGAGGAAAAATGAAAACAGAATGGGAGGGAGAAGAGCCCAGCAAAGGTAAAAGAGGGGAGACTGGGAGGAGGAAGTTATTCCCTACCTTGAAAGTGGGGAGCCTGGGACAGTGGTGCTGGGTACAAGGGCCGAACAGGCTGTAGCTGCGAGGTGACTGAGCATGTCTGGGGATATGTGTAGGCTTGCACACCTGCACAGGGCTGACAAAGTGACAAGTTACTTGTTTACATTCCTATGATAGAACAAAGCAGATAAACAGGGAGGAAGCTTGAAGTGATTAAAACTAGAAATGATAAGACCACAGTTAGGCCACTGTCTTTGGGACTTGATGGTACCTGGTCACTCCAGTCCTACCCAGAACCTGAGGAACAGGAATCTTGGATCACTACCAGTCCTCTGGCAATATGATTTAATAAAGTGGGAATTTGTTCCCTACTATCAGGCCTATTTTTAAGAAAAATTTGAAACTAAGCAAACCCTGTTTAATTTCTCTTGAAGAAAAAAAAAAGTTATGTTTCAAGATTCCAAACTAAGTCAGCCAGTTTCCTGGATGCCTCTCCCCTGCTAGAATCTTTTTTTTTATTTTACAGGCTTTTTAAAATCTGTATGCATGTATGTCTATGCACAAATGTGTGGGGGTTTCTAACCCACCTGATATGGTGGGTTCTTAACAGCTGAGCCATCCACTGCTCAGCCCCTACACTCTGTTTTGTTTGTGTGTTTCCAGACCAGGTTTCATGTAGCTCAGGCTAGCCTCAAAATCACTATATAGCTAAGGATACCCTTGCATTCTTGATGTTCCTGCTTCCAGCTCCTTAGTACTGGGATTACAGATGTTTGCCACCACATCCAGTACCCTTGCTAGATCCTGATGCTTATCTGGGTGACCAGAAGCTCTTATTTTTCTGAACCGGAGTATCTCAACTGTGCAAGGAAGATGTTACTGTTTCATGGGGATTTGCTAATGGGCTAAATGAGGTAATACAGGCAAAGCCCCTAAAAACTGGCAAATTAAGTGCCTGGCAAAAGGCAAATGCTCAATAAACATCAGCTATCATTTTGAGGAGAGTTATTCTCTCCCCATAGGAGAACTTGTTTATTTCTAAGGACAATATAACAATCCCAACATTGTTAAATTAAAAAAAAAATTCTTAGTCCGTGACAGAGGGATTTTCCACTGTAGGAGATTTTTTTCAGTTTTGAGTCTCTGTTCAAAATCACCACGAGGGGCCGGGGCTGGAGAGAGCTCTTGCTATGTTGCATGCACCAACGGGACCTCGCTGTGTGCCAGGCCCAGGCCTTGAGTAGGTACTTCGCTTATTCCTGCACTTACTCTTCACAGGAAGTTGTGAACAGACAACTCTGTGTGATTTAGGGATAAGAAAGGAGTAATTTAGGGAAAGGGAAATCACAAATATTGACTTGGGGAACTGCTGCTGTGTAAAAAGGAGAGAAGGGATCTTCTGTGTTCACACAAGAAGACCAACAGAAATTATATTTCATGACTAAAACCACTTTAAAATAATATTGTTTGTTACCTGAGGGCTGGACGTGGTGGTACACTCCATTAATCTCAGCTCTCAGGAGGCAAGAGGCAAGCAGACCTCTGAGAGTTTGAGGCCAGCCAAGACTATATAGTGAGACCCTGTCTCAAAATAACAAATAAGGAAATTAATTAATTAAAAAAGAGTTACCTGGAAGTTCTGAGCATTTCCAGATACAGCAGAGTGGGAATCAACAGGCGCAACTTGCATCAAGGCAGCAGAGGGTGTTTGGAACCCAGAAACAGATGGCTGAGGTGCTAGGTATGATAAACCAAGATATTTCTACTGTTACCATCCTTGCTTCTTGTGTTAACGCAAACACACAACTCTCACCACAAAAGGGATAAAGATAATTAATTTTGGTGCCAAGCAATCATGACCATGGCTTGGGAACATGGATTTGGGTTACTCCAAATTCCATGTTCAATGTAGTTAACAGTCTCATGAAGTTTTCACAAATCTAGACATTTTTTTAAACACAGCGGTGAAAACATCAGGTGGGTGTGTTCTGGAAAGGCAGGAGGTTTTAGTTTGGGGCCTCAGATGCCATCTGACCACATTCTTAGCTTTTGATTGGTGAAGGCTAATACTCTGTACATTTCAAAGGATTTACCTAATAGTTACAGAGATGTTAGGTCACAACCAAAGAAGGGCAATAAATGGCTATTAAGAATAGGCTGGGGTAGCCGGGCAGTGGTGGCGCACGCCTTTAATCCCAGCACTCGGGAGGCAGAGCCAGGCGGATCTCTGTGAGTTCGAGGCCAGCCTGGGCTACCAAGTGAGTTCCAGGAGAGGCGCAAAGCTACACAGAGAAACCCTGTCTCAAAAAACCAAAAAAAAAAAAAAGAATAGGCTGGGGACAGCACAGAGAACTGTCTCAATTTCTGAAAATGAACCCTACAGCTGCCCAGGCCAGACCCAAGGGTATGAGTTGGCCTGTCTCATCATTCACCCCATCTATGATCTGCTGGAGCACGTAAAGGGACCTGACCTGCAGACCCAAATAGGCATGATCTCTACAACACAATGTAAAAGACACATAGAAGAAATAAATAAATAAATAGATAGATTTTTCCAGGTGGCCATTAAAGACACATAGAATAAATAAAGGAATGACTGGATGAATGAATAAATAAATGAATGAATCAAATTTTCCAGGTAGCTATTAATGGCCCAAGATAAATTACAACTGGTCTCTGAACCTGTTGGATCTCTGCCTCTACACAACCACTGGCCTCGAGTAAGTTAGCCTTAAGAAGGTTCAATGTCAGGTGGGGCCTTTCCAGGAACTTTCCTTCACACTCTTCAGTCTGGACTAGCACCTGACATTCCCATGCTTTAAACTGGACCAGTTTCCCCACTTAATCTCCCAGAGCCGCTCCACAGGCATCCCAGCAACTGATGGAAACAGTGCTCCCTTGTGCATCTGACTCAGAGCCCATCTGCTGACACACGTGCAAATAACACACAGGGAGATGTCTCAAGAGCTGAGCACAGATTTCCAAAAGGGACAATGCAACACAGCAGAAATCACAATGACAGGCTGACTCCATCTGCGTCTGAAAGGGTTCTGCTAGGACAAACCCAAGTGTTAGTCCCTAACCCAGGCCCCAGCACCAACAAGGCAAGCTAACAATCTAAGGAACACTGAAGAAAAGTTAGATCCGACTCAGGGGCCAAGCCTTACAGAGGTTCCTTTCTTACCCTGTGTGGCCATCTGTGGTAACACTGGATGGGCTGGCTGAAGAGAAGGCTGGACAGACGGTGTCACCAGGGACTGCCCAGCTCCACGTACAACAGTTGTATCCTGAAAGAGACACAAGGGTTGGCCTCTATGTGTAGGACTTCAGCTGAAGACTGAGGCTGCCCCTCTCTAACTGCTCGCAATACAGGATTTCCAGGCAAGAAAGAGGAAGGAAAGGCAGGCAGAAAGCCAATAGTCAAGGGAATGAGCTGTATGCAGGAAGCATTCAATTATGCAAGAGTGAGAGCCCTTCTTCCTATAAACCATACCAAATAATCAAACACAGTTCATCTCTACAGATGTTCTACGCTGTCGATGTTTCATCATGACAGATCTACAGAACGCACCATCAGCTACCTAACTGATCTAACCTGTTCCCATGAAGGTCCTCCTACAAGGAAAGCCAGCATCAACCCAGCCTCACCTCTTCTGCCAAATCATTTCACAGACCCCGGAGCAGCCACAGGAAACTGGACAGAGTGGGATTCACTCCATCTCATCAGCATGCTGGCGTTGATGCTGGACAGAGTGGGATTCACTCCATCTCATCAGCATGCTGGCGTTGATGCTGCCTGAACTCTTTCGTTGTTGTTTTGTTTTGTTGAGAAAGTTTTTTTGAGTCTTTCTATGCAGTTGTGGCTGTCCTGGAACTTGCTATGTGGACCAGATTGGCCTCAAACTCAGAGATCCTCCTGTCTCTGCGCCCCAAGTGCTGAGATTAAAGGTGTGTGCCACCACACCCAGCTGTTTGCTCTCATTCTTAAAATATTTTTTGAAAAAAATCATAAAACCAAAGCTGCAACCCTAAACAAAGCTGCTCCATCTTCGTGCTTCGTGCCAGGGCAGGCAGTCCTGACACACAGTTCATAATCTGCTGTGCTCTGGTTCAAGGCTGTCACTTCGTCATTCCTTAGAGCTCCCCCAGCCCCTATATTCTCTTCTGGGAAAAATCAACCCACTTTTAGATTATTACCAATTTCTAAATCAACTCAAATGTCTACCAAGAGAATAAAGGGAATTATGATAAGTGGAAGGCCACTGAATTGCCTTTAAAGCAATATACATTATATATATTACTGATATTAACATAGGTATTTATGATATAACAATAAGTTTAAAAGTTAGTTTATAAAGCAATATATAAAGAAAATGCCTTTTTGTTAAGCATATTCTTTCTTTATAATTTTTAACTATTATGCAATAAAGTAACTTAGTTTTAATTATATATAAATTTTAATTAATTATATATAAAAAAGTAATTTTTAATGAATTATATTATTCAAATTTCATTTGTAGAAACCAGGAAACAAAAACAAAATAGTAAGCTCCATTTAAAATGTTAGAACTTTCCAGGAAACAAATAAAACAATACTATGAAAAATAAACCCTACTTCAGAGCACATTGTATATTTTTTCTCTTCATTTTATATCAAATGAAAAAATTCTCAAAAATCAATCTATCATATATTTCAGTTCATTTGAGAAAGAATTTTTTTTATCAGTAACAAGCTAACCATTGAAAAGAGGCTTAGCCTGGCGGTGGTGGCACATGCCTTTGAGCCCAGCACTCAGGAGGCAGAGCCAGGTGGATCTCTGTGAGTTCCAGGCCAGCCTGGTCTACAGAATCAAGTTCTAGGACAGCCAGAGATACACAGTGAAACCCTGTCTCAAAAAAACAAAGAAAGGTGGAGGCTTGGGGGCTGGGGGCAGGAGGAAGGAAGAGGGGGATCTTTGATTGGTATGTAATTTGAATGAAAAAATTTTCTTAATAAAAAAGAAAGAAAGAAAAAAACGGCTTAAGTTACTTTATATTCTTGTGGACCACAAATTTAGATCTAAATAAATATAAAATAATATTTCTGAAAGATATACCATATTTCTAAAATCTAAAAATGGGAGTGCTTTCACTTGTATATGAGTGTTTATATGTGTTCACGTGTGTATACAGGAGGGAATGTGTACATTTGTATACTTTTGGGCATGTGGAGGTCAGAGGTCAACACTGGGTGTTTTAACCTTAATTCTGAGTCAAGGTCTCCCACCAAACTAGAGCTCACTGGTTGACTGGACTGGCTGACTCTCAGGCCCCAAGGATCCCTCTGTGGGCCCTCCCCAGATCTAGGATTACAGGCACAAGACACTGCCCCGGCTCTGATGTGGGTGCTGGAGAGCTGCTTAGGTGCACATAGCAAGCACTTTCCCCACTGAACTACCTCCCCATCCTGGGGATGCTTTCTGAGCACAGTGTCGAAAGCAAAAAGCAAGGGGGATTGTAGATAGGATTTCAACAAAATTCTTGAACTTCTAAATAACGTTTTTAAAACACAGGAAAAAACATCATATATACAGTCATAAAATGTAACAGTTTGGTATTTAAACAGGTATCATGGGTGAGAAGACCAGTTTTTCCCAAACTGATCCAAGCATTCAATTAACAAACATGGATGGAAGCCAGAAGTAGTGGCATGTGCCTATGGTCCTATACACTAGGAAGGCTGAGGTAGGAAGTCACTTGAACCCAGGAGTTACGAGCCTAGGCAACATGGTGAGACTCAGTCTCAAAGGAAAAAAAAAAGAATTGAGCACCTGTAGACATGTAGACATGCATGCAAGCAAAACACTCATATGCATAAAAATAATAAAATTAAAATTTTTAAAGAGTAAAAGAAACTTTTAAAAAGTAGAATAGAGTGCCTGCTGTGGGGTTGTACATCTTGTATGAAGATTGATTCTTTTTTCTCAACATGAAGCAGATTTATTCATTTTAGACAGGCAGCTAAAGATTATGAGCAATACAGCTTCAAGATCCTGGTACATGAACACTAACCAAACCTCTCTAAATGGTCTAAAGATTATGAGCAATACAGATTCAAGATCCTGGTACATGAACACTAACCAAACCTCTCTAAATGGTCTAGTCTTGTGCCTGATGTGCAGAATTGCTTCTACACAGTCCAGTTCTTGGGTCAGATATGCAGGATTTACCTCCATTTGGGGAAGGCCTAATCACAGTAGAAAGACATGTACCCAGACTGATCTCGGGACTCTGGATTAGACACAGGAAAGGAACTTATTTCAACCAAAGAAACACAAGATGGCAGCACCTGTACTATGCATGTTAATACAGGCAAGGTGACATACTTCTGGTTCTGAGTCATTGGAATCCAGCTGTGGTGGGAGGATGGGCAGCATGGGCTGGCCCATTTTAGCCATCCGAGAGATCAGCTTGGCCTTGACTGTATCAGGACTCTAAAAAGAAGGCACAAACATCACTGTGACCGCGGTTTGTTGCTTTCAAACAGTTCAACTTCTGTGCCTTGTATCAAAACCTTTACCCGTACTATTCCCTATTAGAAGCCGTTTCTTCAAGAAAGCAAGAATTATTTGTAATACCAAATACAATGCAAATGCTATATAAATACAGTATTGAGGAAATAATGACAAGAAAGAGGCCTATCTGTGTAGATTTAGCTCAGATGCAGTCCCTATAGCCCCCCAAAAGAAAGTAAGAATTAAAGATGCCATGCATAGAAGCATATAATTAATAACAACAACAACAGTCAAAATGAGTCCCTATAGATCTGGAATGGACTGCTTGCATACACATCATCTCTTTTAAACCAAGTGTCCCCACTGTAAAATGAGAGTGCTAATGCACACTTAGTTTAACTTCCTGAGTTTAGAAAGTTTTTTCCATCAGGACCAATTACTTATGAAGTGTGTCCTGCTGTGGCTGAATGTGCACAGGGCTGGCTCCACCCATCACCTACTGTACCCAGTGGCAGGGGAAGGCCTTTCTTGAACCTGAAGTTCTCTGTCTACCATCTGGTCATCCTGCTACACACTCAGAGCCTGCATGGGCCAAGCAGGGCAGCAGGAAACCACCTTTTCATCCCTCCTAAAGGCATTCAAGTCCAAATTTCACTGAAATAGCAACTGGTCCTCTCCTCTGACCTTTGGGGAAATAGAAAGTCAATGACCTGCTCAAAGTCAACCAGTAGATGAAGAAGCCTCAGTTCCTCTGAGAGAATAAAAGCACAAGGTGTCTACTCTCTCAGGTAAATGAGTGCTCTCCAATCCCCCTCACACACACACTTTCTTTGGTGGTGGTGGCAGTTACAGAATTTTGTTCTTTTTGAGATAAAATACACATAACATAAAATTATATTAGTATCAATGAAAATGTGAACAATGCTTATTAAGCACTTACAATATGTCAGATATAATACTGAAAACTCAGTAAGTGTTCATTTCCTTACGTCAATTTACATACGAAGAAATAAACCTTTTTAGAGAGTAAGCTCTTTAAGGTCACACAGAATAAGCAACAGAGAAAGCCAAGGATTAACCTCTGATCCATCCCTGTTGGAATAATGGCATCTCTAGACGGAAGTGCACTTTACTGGAGGGGTTCCCTCCCAACCTCACACCTCTCTCCTGGTAACACCATAGCTACTGCCCATTGAAAACAACTTCACACAGCTCTGAGCTCAGGGCTTTAAGAGTATCTTTAGTCCTCACAAGAACTGTAAATGGGGGCTGTGAAAATTATCTCCACTGCAACAATAAAGAAACTGAGGATCTGAAAAGTCAGATCCTTTCTCAAGGCCACATACCTTTAATTCAGAACTACTGGTGTAAAAGTACAAGCTAATTTCTACTGACTGATTTCCAAGTAGGATAAAATGAATATAGTAATAATTAATTTCTAACCTAAGTCAATGGCTCTCAAACCATGTACTAAGCACATGAAACCAAGTACTCCAGGGCTTAGGGGTACAGAATCATACTTACTGTATTTACAGTAAGCTGTTCACTGAGAGAGTTAGATTTGGAACGAAGAGCCGGCTCCCTGAAAGAAAAAAAAAAAAAATCCTGAGATACTACAAAATCTATAAATACAAATTAAGCTGGCTTAAAAACCTTGCTTTTATAATATTCAACTGAACAGCTAAAACAGAATTTTAACTCCTCTTTACTTGTATAGTCTTTGAAGGCCACCAAAGTTGAACAATCTTTCATTCAAATTCAGTCCACTTTCTCATGGATCTGTATTCTGTATTCATGCCCTAAAGTTACTCAGCTTTCTTCCAGGGTTCTGCAGATATTCTTATTACCATTTTTACAGACTATTAATCCATTGTCAGAAGAATCTGATGCAGCATTTTCCCATTCCTGATCCTGTTTATTTTTTTTTTCAATTACTTAATATTGATTGCAGTTTTAAACTATATATGAGGAGCCATGTTGAAGAATCCTAGAGTTTGCCATGGCCCTAATGTCTTACCCGGATTTGAGAGGCAGTGTTATGGGTGGTGTCACAACAGGGTCACTTGGGAGGCTGTCAGCAGCAGGTACAGGGGAGGGGGCTGCAGAGTCCCGGGAGCTCACACTGTGGCCATCAGAGCCAGAATCTCTAGCAAACTTCACCTGGGGTAGAACAGAATGTACACGCTTACCCTTCAGTACTCTCCTTTATTTATTCTTTAGCACATAAGCTATTGCCTATTCAGTATAGGTAATCAAAAATGCAGAAGAAAAGACAAAGGGAATGGTTAGTTACAATTAGCTACCATTACATCATCTGCAGGTATGAACGAGGGCATGTGTGCTTTTACAAACGGGGCTATAGCTTCATAGCTGTTCTGCTTACTTGCTTATACATTAATGTATTTCCATGTCACTAAATATTTATCTTCATTGTTTTCAGTTATTGAAGAGTGTGTCTAACTTCTAGGTCATGCTCTTTCCTGCTATAATCTACAAGGTAAAGTCTCCAAAGGATTTTTGAAATGGAAGTTATAAATATACATGCTATTATAAAAAGCTATTTCGAGGCCGGGCGGTGGTGGCGCACGCCTTTAATCCCAGCACTTGGGAGGCAGAGCCAGGCGGATCTCTGTGAGTTCGAGGCCAGCCTGGGCTACCAAGTGAGTTCCAGGAAAAAGGCGCAAAGCTACACAGAGAAACCCTGTCTCGAAAAACCAAAAAAAAAAAAAAAAAAAGCTATTTCGAGGCTGGAGAGATGGCTCAGAGGTTAAGAGCACTGGCTGCTCCTCCAGAGGTCCTCTGTTCAATTCCCAGCAACCACATGGTGGCTCTCAACCATCTATAATGAGATCTGGTGCCCTCTTCTGGCATGCAGGCAAACATGCAGACAGAATACTGTATACATAATAAATAAATAAATCTTTAAATAAATAAATAAAAACCTATTTCACATAATTAGACAATTTATTTCTATCACAAATAATGCTTTAATGTCTAGCTTTATGTCTAGATCTTTGCAAATAATCTTACATATTTCCTGAGTACAAACTCCTATAAGTTAAATTATTAGATAAAAGGTGTACTCCTGGGCCAGAAAGACTACCCACCAAGCCTGACAACCTGAATTCAATTCTCAGAACCCACAGGGAGAGAACTGATTCCTATAAGTTGTCCTCTGACCATCACACATGCACTGCAGCATATGCACACACACATATGCGCACACACATATGCACACACACATATGCACACACACAAACTAAATAAGTAAATGTTTTTTAAAGAGTGTGCTCATATTTTAAAGACTATTATATAAATCATTAAATTCCCTAAATTCCCTTTATAAAATATGAACCCCATAAGCCATAGCAGTGCATAAACTTTCTCAACATCCTTGACATGCTAGCTGAGAGTTATCATTATCAGCTTTGTCAACTTAATATGCATGTCAGGCTCCAATTTTTTTAAAAGATTAATTTATTTATAAATTATGCATAAATGAGTGTGCCTGTATGACTTTATGTGTGGCACTTGCATGCAGTTACCGCTGAGGCCTGCAGAGGGCACTGGATCCTCTGGAATTAGAGTTACAGGCAGTTGTGAGCTGCCTGATGTGAGTGCTGGGAACTAAACCCTGGTTCTCTGGAAAAGCAGTAAGTGCTCTTAACTATTGAGCCATCTCTCCAGCCCTCCTTATCTTTTTTAAACTCAAAGTTCTCTTGGCTTTTTGTTTAATCAGCATATAAGATATTAGATACAAGGCATTTTCAAACAAAATATATTTTAGTAGATACTCTCCCCCTCATCTCCCTCATCCCATTCCCCTTCATTTCCCCCTTGCAGTCTCTTTTCCTGTCTCACATATGCTATTTCTAATTTCGCTCTCTCCATATCTCTCTCTCTCTCTCTCTCTCTCTCTCTCTCTCTCTCTCTCTCTCTCTCTCTCTCTTTCTCTCCCTCCCTCTGAGACAGGGTCTCACTATTAGCTCTGGCTGTCATGGAACTCACTATGCTCACTCTGTAGACCAGGTTGGCCTCAAACACATAGAGATCCATCTGCCTCTGTTTCTCAAATGCTGGGACTAACAGCATATGTCATTATGCCTAGCTCTAATTTCTTGATTACTGGTAAAGTAGAAAACTTTTGCTTATGTTTATAAGTCAGTATTAATAGTTTTGAACTAGTTTGTTATCTATCATTACCTATGATTTCCTGAGGCTCAAAGAAAAACAGAGAAACTAGAAGATATTTAAAAACAAAAAGGCAGCTGGGGACATGTCACTGTAAGAAGATTAGATTTGGCCAGCAGAGAGAAGGGTCTCCCATTAGGAGGGCTACCTCTCTGTTGTGGCAGGCATAACTACTGCATAGAGATAGCCATAAAATTCATTATTTGTATTGTATTTTATAGTTTATAGTTACCAGCACCATAACATTTAAACCTAATAATAACAAGGTCATTTGAGAGAAGGGATACTATAAACCAACCAAAATTAGTTGCTATTTTAGTATAGAAATTATAGCTATTCAAAGACAGGGTCTCACTGTGTGACCCTGGCTGGTCTGAAACTCATTAGTAGATCAGTTTGGCCACAAACTCACTAAGATCTGACTGCTTCTGCCTCCCAAATGCTGGGACTAAAGATATGCACCACCACACCTGGCTGACAAGATTTTTATACACTAAAAAAAAAGACAAGATGATGAACTCCAAGTCCATTCTCAGAGAAAACCACTCATCATTTCTTCTAAAGCTTTCAGAAATTCCTAGGAATGCATGAACATAGATATGTCTTCTATGTACACATATATACATGTATATGTGTATATATATACACGTATGTATACAAATACGTATGGTCGTTACAAACACGTGCCACCATACCAGCATGTTTGTGTAGGTTCTGGGGACTGAACTCAGACCTGAGGGCAAGGACTCTACCAACCTTCTCCCTACCCTGCCATTTCTATTTTTTAAAAGCAATCTATATCTTCAGAATCAGATTTACAAGCACAACACAGGTCAGTTTCACTTACCCGCCTAACTTCTACCTCAAACACCAGGATTGAGTCTGTTGGCTGAGTCCAGCCTATTACTCCTTCAGAGCCAGCAGCACAGGCAGAAGGAATGATAATTAACCGCTTTCCTCCTTTCTTCATGCCCAGTAGTCCATCCTCTAAGCCCTACAGAAACCGGAAGTGGGAAAAAGCTCATCAGACAAAAAGAACATAAACATGCACACAAACACATAAACTTACATACACTACACACACACAGAAACAATAAACAAATGAAAAAAAAAAAAGAAAGCTGGCACATCTGGAGTTGGGCAAGACATTTAAATGATGGGAGTGGGGGCAGAATTATAGTATTAAAAGAGAATCGAAGCTATCACTTATTAAATCACGTTTTTCCAGGTATAGCTATGGTTAAGCATTCCACCTGCTTGTTGAATCCCATGATGGCTAGCACTGCCTTCACTTCTTAAGTGAGAAAACAGACTCTGGAGGTTCAATAACTGGCTTAGAGATGACACAGTCAGTACTGTTAAGCTGATGTTGAACATAAGACCCGTCTAACTTCAAGGAGTATGCCTTAACTATTTAACAGAAAAAGTCTCCAAAGAATTTGGGCAAAACAGGCATAGGCAATGCAGTGAAAAAACATTTTGTACATGGATGGATAGACCCAGCACAATGCCCTAACATGCCCAATACCATGACACTGAACATATGTTCAAATGGTCACTGATAAGCAAAATTCACAACTCGAATCCTAGAGCAGTGCTCCTCATGCTACACCCAGTCAAACAGACGAGAATCGGGCATTATGGCAGCTGCTGAGACATAGTGCCACCTCTCCATCAGGCTGCGGGAACAACGGACTAATTTCCTCAGAGTCATAGGAGGAAAAGAAAGGAAGGGCCTAAAAAACAAATGCACTCCTCTTCAGCATAGCTTCTCATAGGTAAACATTTCTCCAATGTTGACAATGTAGAACACCTTTCCCCTTCCCACTTTTCTTTTTCTTTTTTTTTTTTTGTTTGTTTGTTTGTTTTTCGAGACAGGGTTTCTCTGTGTAGCTTTGGAGCCTGTCCTGGAACTCACTCTGTAGTCCAGGCTGGCCTCGAACTCACAGAGATCCGCCTGCCTCTGCCTCGTGAGTACTGGGATTACAGGCGTGCGCCACCACCGCCCAGCCCCTTCCCACTTTTCAACCAAGCTTTTCCAGACTCAGAAGACAAGGAGAGGTTGGGGATGCTACAACATAAAAGCTAAATTCCAACAGGCTTTTACCTTGACAACTTTTCCTGATCCTAATTTCAGGCGAAGAGGTTTATCTTTGTTAGCAGTAGAGTCAAAAACCTGCCATTTGGTAAAGAAAGTCAGTCAATTTCAAAAACAATAATCCTCATGATGATAATCAACTACCGGGGTCAGCACTTCCGAACAGGAAACAACAGGTATGACGGGCACGTGGCTCCCAAAGAAGCTAAAAGGATGGGACTACGTCATGGTTGGAGGTTATCACACCAACCCCTGGGAACAGTGATTTGCCAAGCTGGGGAACAGCACGCTCTGGCACCATCACATCTATAACACATTTTCAGTAACTGTACTCATTTGGTGCTGATACTGTCCTGCCAGGAAAGCAGGGGGAGGATTACTAAGCTCTGTGCACAAATGGGGAAAACCACGGGTTTCACAGGTTTGATCCAGGTCAAGCTGGGCCCTGATCTGCGCCCCCACCTCGTTCTTTTGTTGTTGTTGTTGTTGTTGTTTTGTCTTTTGTTTTGTTTGATACAGGCTTTCACTATGTGGCCCTGGCTGGCTTGGAATTCACTATGTAGATCTGGCAGGCCCTGAAATCATAGAAATAGGCCTGCACCTGCCTCCCAAGTGCTGGAATTAAAAACCTGTGCCACCATAGCCCACATATTCACACTTTTTAAGTCATACAGCTCTTTCTGTCACATCTCATTGCTTTTGAGAACTTAACAGTACTAAAAACACAATTCCAACATATTTACAGTGTCTGGTAAAGGAAAATGGTAGCTAGACACAGTGGCATTTGATTTTAATCCCAGAACTCTGGAGAGAGGGCAGAGGCAGAGGCAGGCAGATCTCTGTGATCTCCAGGCCAGCTGGGTCTACATAGCAAGTTCCAGGCCATCCAGGGCTACACAGTGAGCCCCTGTCTCTAAAAGAAAAAGAAAGATGGTGAGAAGGTCTAAAAATAAGATCTATTTCTTAAAGCTATATTCAAGTTTGAAACTGGCAGGGAGGACAAGACATACGCATCAATTATCCTTAGGAAACTGTGTCCCCCTAGATATGAGATGGGGTGTGGGGTCACTGAGCACATTTACACTGAAGTACTTCATGAATGTGTTTTGTGAAGACTGATTCAGTCTCAGCAAAGGTTTCTACTGATCAGTAGCCACAGTTCACTTTCCATGTGCACATGGAAAGCCACGTGCCACTTACATAGAAAGAACTTGGAGAGTACACTGTCTTACCTGGCCCAGCATCTGATTCTGAAGGAGCCAGCCTGTATAGGCTACTTCCAAAGAATCTCCAGTATCTACAGCAGGACCCTCTGCTGCAACCAGGTCCTGACACAGCACTGAATCCAAGGAAGAACTGCTATTGCATTTGGCCACACACACCTGCAAGGTCAAATCAGAGCACCAGAAGCTTGGTTTAAGCTTCATAAGTACCCATCCCATCACCGCTAATATTCTTTCTCAAACAGCTACATCTACTAACAAACAGATTACAAGTGTAGACGTAAGCCATTCCAAAGTCAGTAATCTGGCCAGGAATCTAGGTGCCTAACAAGACAGCACTGGAGTCAGAATGTCTGGGTACAGAGCCAGGCATTGCCACTTCTTAACTCTGACCTTCAGCAAATAACTTAATCTCCATAGATTTACCCGATCCCACTTGCAAAATGAAGAAGAGCTTTGCAAATCTTATAGGTGGCTATGGAAATTAGACAGGCCAATTCAAACAGAGTGCTTAGCAATGCACCTAGGAAATAACAGTAAGTAAACAAATGCTCTGACCTCATGATCTAATAACCACCTCCCAAAGACCCAACCTCCTACTACCATTACCTTAGTGATTAGATTTCAATAATGTGACCTCCTAGGGAAAGGTACATTCAAACCATAGCAGACAACATCCATAGTACAAGCTTCTAAATAATTTTTCATGAGGTAGGAAGATAAAATACAGAAACTATAGAACTCTCGAAGGAATACACATACTTACACTTACTATACACATAAAAAAGCAATGTAATGTGTTACTCTGGGTAGTAAAGTTACGAATGTATGTGTGCTACATGCTTGTGTGTGGGTGCATGTGTGTGTGTACGTACATGTAGAGGCCAAAGGATTAAAGTGCAGAGATTATAAGTACTCACTGCCACTCTTGGCTTTCTCTTTATCACAGTGCTCTGGGGATCGGACTCAAGTCCTCACGTTTACATGACAGACACTTCACCAACTAGCTCTTAAATGATTGTTTTAGATGTTTTTCTACAAAGAGCTTATAAAATTTTAAGTCTTTTGATATGCTACTTTTACAGGTTTCATGTATCTTTAAGAAAATTGTGTAACAAAAAAGGTAGGGATTTTTCCATCTGTATGTGTGTGTGGTATATGTGTATGTGTGTTCACATGTGTGGGCACATGGATATGAGGCTGTGTGTGTCTGGAGGCCAGAGGCTAATGCTAGGTGTCTTCTTCGATTGCTGTATTTACTGAGGCAGGGTCTCTGGCTGAACCCAGAGCTCCCTGATTCTGTTAGTCTAACCGGCTAGTTTGTCCTGGGAATCCATCTCTGTCACACCCATCCAGCACTTATTTGAGTGCTAGGGATGTGAACTCCGGTCCTTACACTTGTACAGCAACAAGTGTTTTAACACGGGACCATCTCTCCAGCCCGGCAAAAAAGTGTTTAATCAAATAAGCTTACATTTCCCCATTTTTCCCTTTAAATATTTCCTCAGGCAATTTCAATAAGAACGTCTATTCTTTTCCTGAAACACAGCAAGCTTAGTGGGTTCTTTACCTTGTTATTAATAACACAGAGCAGCTATGGTTTTGCCATAACTTAAACAAGGAAGACTCCAAACAAGTGCTCTGGCTTTGCACAGGAAAGAGTAAGAAGACGTCACCTGTTTATTGAACGCCACAGCAGCCTTCTCTGACTCAAACATGATAGACCAGTTTTGTCTCTGGTCATCATAAAAGGTGCTGTAGTTACTGGACCGAACCTGGGGGGACAAAAAAGTCTGGGTAATTCAAGCAGAGCAGCACGTGGGTAAATCTCACTGTCTCAGCTCCCAGAGGAGGACTGAGGACTGGTTCAGGGACTCAGGCAGTAAACAGGAACTCCCCCCCCCCCCACACACACAAGTCCACTTTCCCAAAAGGAGCCAGGAGACCTTTCTGAAGGGCTGCTTACTGGTGTCCAGGCCTGAGCAGAGGATCTTTTTCTATCAGGAATGTTCAGGCCCATCTTTCCCACAAACCTAACGGGGCTAGAGATTCCAGTAGGAGAGACTCTTACCATTAGCTCAAAGTTCAGATGAACTGTAGCAACAGTCACTGGCTGCTGCTGACTGATGTAAAGAAGAATCCTATACTGTAGTCAAATACAATGGACAGAAAAAGAAAACAGGATCATCAGTAAGACATGAGGCTATGCTTCCTACATCTACAAATCTCAAAACCGTTCAGTCTGTGAAATAGGATTTTTCACTGGCCATTTACCTCTTTTCATTCTGGCCGCACTCTTTAACTGTAATTAGCAATAGCTTTATTTTGTTGGCATTTCCATTCATATGAGGGGTAACTAAGGGATAGTGGCTGAATGCTTTACAGAAAAAGCAAGCCAGATTTGGTGGTGCATGCCTGTAACCCCAGCTCTTGGGAGGCTGAGGCAGGAGGATTGCCATGAGTTTGAGTTCAACATGAGCTATAGAATGAAACCCTGTCTCAAAAAACACCAACCAACCAACAACAACAAAAATCTTTTAAATTTGAGAGGGAAAAAATCATATAAATCATACATGTACAGCTCAGTGAATTTTCACACGTATATGTGCCCACGTAGCAACCAGTCAGATTGAGAAAAGATCATTGTTTCCTACATCCTAATAGCTCCCCTGCCCCTTCCCATCAATAATCTCTCCCTACTCCAGGGAACCACTACTATGACTCAGTCATAGACCAATTTCACTATACTTAAATTACTATGGCTTATAGATTTTGATTTTTGTCCTGCCATTTTCATTTAATGTAGACTAAGCCCTGTCACTTAATGTACCAGTACTTGGTTCTCTATTGACCATTACTATTATTCTATATGAATATACCACAACCTGTTTACTCACTCTCCTAGTCATAGCTATTCAAGCTGTGTCCAGTTTGAAACCATATGGATAGTGCATCTATGAACTTTCTCCATGTCTCATAGAGGACGTGGACATATACCTCCTTCTACCTAATGAACTTCCTTTCAAGTTTCCCATAGTAACAATCTACTGACAATGGATTCTCCCAACTTTCGTTTGTCTGCAAATTTATTTTGTCCTCATTTCTTACGGGCATTTTTCTTGGCATAGAATTATACACAGGGGATCAGCATTATAGCACAGGGCTACAGCTGTACTTAGAAAGGTCATGGGTAAGAAAAACCATGGATGAACTTTGAGGGTACTGAGCTAATAAAGCAAGTCAATCACAAAAAGATAAATGTCACATGACTTCACTTACATGAGGTATCTGGAACAGGTAAATTCACAAAGACAGCAGATTAGAGGTTATGGAGAAGTAAGGGTAGGGGAGATGGAGGGTTACCACTTAATGGATAGTTTCTGTTTGAGATTACAAAAAAAAAAAATGGGACTAGTAGTGATGAGTACTTAATACTGTAAATGTAATTAAAGCCTCTGGATTGGGGCTGGAGAGACAGGTCAGCAGTTAAGAGCACTGATTATTCTTCCAGAGGACCTGAGTTCAAGTCCCAGCACCCACATGGTGGCTCATAACTCCAGTTCCAGGGGATCCTATACCCTCTTCTGGCCTCTTTTGGCACTAGGCACATAAGTGGTACACAGACAGACAGACATGTAGGCAAACCACCCACATACATTATATAAATAAATATAAAATAAATTAATTAAAAAATAAAACAAAATAGCCACTGTACTGTGTACTTAAAATGTTAAACTGCAAAATTTTATATATAAAAAAATATGTCACAGTCGGCCTCTATGTGCCTAGATTCCAGTTCTATAGATTTAAACATATACTTCTTCTTATATTTCTTGAATAATATAGTAACTATTTATGTAGCACTTATATCTATCAGATGGTACAAATAACCTAGAGCTGACCTAAAGTATAAGGAAGAATGTACAAGTACAGCCCTCTGCCACTTTACAGAAGGATCTTGAGCATTCACTTATACATGGGGAGGGGAGGACCCTAGAACCAATCTCCCAGAGACTTAGGGATGACATGTGCATGTATGCTATATATCAATTAAACAAACACAAACACACAAATAATTAAAATTCACCCTCTGGACAACAGACATAATGGCTCAGTGGTTAAGAGCATTGCTGCTCTTCTAGAGGACCTGAGTTCTGTTCCCCAAATCCATGATAGGAGGCTCAAAACCACCTGTAACTCTAGCTCCTTTGGCCCCCTCAGGTACCTGCACTCAAAGGTACATTCCCACATGCAGACTTACACATAACTAAATACTTACACATAACTAAAAATAATAAAAATAATATATACATATATAATATATTACAAATATATTACTTATACAAATACTTATACATAACTAAAAATAATAAAAATAATATATACATATATAATATATATGTGTATATATACATGTTTTTTTTTGAGACAGGGTTTCTCTGTGTAGTTTTGGTGCCTAACCTGGATCTTGCTCTGCAGACCAGGCTGGCCTGGAACTCAGAGAGATCTGTCTGGCTCTGCCTCCCGAGTGCTAGGATTAAAGGCGTGCACCACCACCACCCGGCTATAAATAAATATTTTAAAAAAATGGAATTTGTCCTCAGAAACACAATGGGGGGGCTGTGAGGCGATAGGTGGTTTCACCTGAGACACTATTTTTCAAAGTGAAGGGCTGATCACCACAGTTCAACTGTGGACTGAAGTGGTTGTAAGAGGATTAGACATTCACTAAGAATCAGTTTATCATGATTCGAGTTGGCTCAGCGGTTAAACATAGTTGTTGCTCTTGAATAGGGCCCAGGCTTGATTCCTAGTACCCACATGTGGCTCACAACCATCCTAACTTCAGTTCCAGAGGGATCCAATTCTCTCTTTTCACCTCTGTGGGCACAGTGCACTCACTTGGTGCACAGAAAACTAATGCAGGCAAAATATTCCTATACATAAAATAAAACAAATAAATCTTTAAAATGTTTTAAGAATCAGTCTACTTCTGAGTTGTCCTGATTCTCAGGCAGCACCTTGCCAAGCTTTTGGCTGAAAGCCTAGACCGTCTCTCCAACTCCTTGGTTCTTAAAGTTCTACTCAACAGAAATTTTTAGCTGAGTTCTTTAGTATTTCCCCATGAAGTTCAAAATCTAGTAAATACAAGCAGAGGAAGAGAGTTGCTATTGTGGAGGTCTCTCCCTCTACAAGTGTTTCTCCTATGCACCACAAAGCTGCAGAAATCATTCCAACTCTGGCATAGTGCCGGGACTTCCATAGCACCCCTGAATTCAACGAATGTCCTACGGGGAAAACTGATGTAGAGCTGCGAGACTCTCTGGTTTTGTCAACTTCTCTTCTCTTGAGCAGTCTCTCTGCTTGTGTCATACCTGCTGCCTAGACTACACCTAAAGTCAGCAATGTACTCAAGATAGAAAACAGAGGCATCTCATTGGTGGTTTTTCTCTAAGATTTTAATTTATCTTCCCTTCAACATTTCTATAGCTCTCCAGCAAGGTTTTTATCCAAAAAACTTTACAATATAACTGTTGCAATTTATCTGTGTCTTTCTTTTTTTTTTTTTATGACAGGACCTCACTGTGTAGCTGGCCGGCCTTGAACTCCCTATGTAAACCATATCTCCCTTGAGCCCACAGAGATCCCCCTGTCTGTGCCTCTCAAGTTCTGGGATTAAAGGTGTGTGCTTACCATCCAGCTATCAGCTTCGATTCTTTATTTAATGTGAACGGGTGTTTTGTCTGCATATATATCTGTGCACCATGACTGTACCTTGTGTTTGATGCCTGTTGAGGCCAGCAGAGAGCATTGGATCCCCTAGAACTGGAGTTACAGACAGTTGTGAGCAGCAATGTGGATGCTGGGAATTGAATTGGATCCTCTGAAAGGGCAACCAGGGGCTCTTAACCACTGAACCATCTCTCCAGACCCCCAAATGTATTTTATTTTCTGTGTATGGGTGTATGGCCTGCATGTATGTCTATGCAACACATGCATGCAGAGGCCAGAAAAGGGCATCAGATTCCCTGAATTGGAATTACAGACAGTTGTGAGCCAATATGTGAGCGCTGAGAACCAAACTCAGGTCCTCTGGAAGAGAAGCTGGTGCTCTTAACCACTAAGCCATCTCTCCAACCCCTTATCTGCTTCTTTATAATTGCTTCTCCAACCTACTACCTCTTTCTGGCCATCAAGCATAGTGATGTCTCACAGCTAGAGTTCTAAGATCCAAATTGTAATCTCTAATGAATTAATAGGTCTAGATAACAGTCAGCAGCAGCTGCTAAAACACAAAACAAGAGACAGCCAGACATCATTTGCTTCCTGATGGGAGGATGGAAGATTTGAGGGACATAGGGACCAACTACAATGGGTAACCTCACTAGATGTTGATTCAAATGGATATACAAGAAGAAAAACAGTACAGGAACAAGGAAATTTGAACACTTCCTGGTAGTGACTGAGATTAAGATGTACTGTTTACTTCTTTAGGTGTGATAATTACCTGACAGTTTTGTTTTTAAGTATCTCGTCTCTTAGAATTATATACTAAAGCATTTACCACTGAAATTGTATATTGAGATCTGTTCAAAATAACCTGAGTGTGAAAAGAAAGGTGAGGGTGTGATCACAGATGAAAGACTTAATAACCCTAGCAAGAGCTTAGTACTAATACTTATGGCTGCATATTTAAGCCCCGCTGATTTGTGTTTCAAATTTCCCATACCTGTTTTTGTGTGTCTTACAGTGCTGTCCATTGTATCAGTCACCATGGGCAACTAATCTTAGCTTTGTGCTGAGAGTGGCAGAGCAGCAGGAACCCGTGTTCTCTGGGCCTCTGAAATGCTAGAATTGATGTTCAGCTCAATAATGTCTAACTCAATGCTCTGGAGCAGTATTTGAGCTAGATGTACCAACTCAAAGAAGTCAGGCTTAGGGGCATTTAGTGACATCCATGACACTTCACCCTGACTAATCAACTGCTCAACCTTGTTTTCAGACTTGCAAAGGATAAATATCAGCCATTAACAGAGGCATAAAGATGGAATGTGCTGACAGTACAATGAATGATCATTAACTACCCAACAAAGAACATCCTTAACAGTGTACTCCAAAGCTTTCCAGCTCTGACACTAGAACCATCACAAATGAAACGTCTAAAGCAAACATTCTGAGCAGCTGTACCTGCTTTAATGCCTAACAGTATACAAACTGAGGCCATTTACTGAATCCTACACACTCAGACTTATCATTAGTAGCCACTGTTATCGTGACACACGAGCCAGATCAGGCAGATAAAAACCAGACTCCTGGTACTGACAATACTTGGGATGTGGCATATGAATTGATGTGGGGCTTCTCACCTCTCTGGTTGTGTGGTTCCCCAGGACAGCAGCTCCGAATTTGCCCTGCTTTGCATATTGACCGTTTATGCTATTAAAGCAAGAAAATAACAGACATCAGTACCTCTATAAACCATGAAGAGCCAGCACTGTTTTGATAAAGTTAGGCATCTGGCCTCTAGAAGAGGTCAGAGGCGGACAGTTTTTAATCTAAAGCTCTTCTGCAACTTCTTTTTCTTTGAGACAGGCTCTCATTGGTATAACTCTGGCTGGTCTGGAACTCACAGAGATCCTGCAGTCTCTGCCTCTCAAGTGCTGCGATTAAAGATGAGTGTCACCACACCCAGCTCCAACTTCTTTATTCCTCAGTCATTGTTATTAGTTGTTTTTTGCTCTTAGCTCTTTGGGGGCCCACCACCCATCTCCCAAATAAATCACACACAGAGGCTTATTCGTAATTATAAATGCCCGCCCTTAGCTTGGCTTGTTTCTTGTCAGCTTTCCTTAACTTTAAATTATCCCATCTATCTTTTGCCTCTGGGCTTTTCCTTTTCTATTCCTGTATACCATTCTTTGTTTCTTACTCCATGGCTTGCTGTGTAGCTGGGTGGCTGCCCCTGGAGTCCTCCTCCTTCTCTGACTACTTCTTTTTTTCCCCAGATTTCTTCTTCTATATATTCTCTCTGCCTGCCAGTCCTGCCTATCCTTTCTCCTGCTTTGATATTGGCCATTCAGTTCATTATTAGACCATCAGATGTTTTAGATAGCCATAGTAACACAGCTTCACAGAGTTAAACAAATGCAACATAAACAAAAGTAACACATCTTAAAATGATATCCTACAACAAATCATCTATTATCCACAGTACTCCTAAGAACTTAAGAAGCTGCTGTGGAGGGCCCAAACATTAACAGCACAGACAAGATAATGTTATTTAGGGCCCTGTCTAGGCAAGGACTGAGGAACTAGGCTGCAATGAGCATGGGCTTCTGAGAAAGGCCAGGAACTGCATCCTACACTTCCCTACCCTTCACCAGCACAGAGCTTTGTCTCCCAACGACTTACTATCGATATGCGTGCACTGCAGTTGCAAACAGTACTGACGAAGTGCCTGTGGTGGTTGTTGCTGGTTTTGGTGCTGTCTGATTTCCTGAAGATGAAGAAAAAAAAGGTGTCATTCTTTTTTTTGATTTTTCACCTCAAAACTAGCCTCAAAATTCCACTTCATACTTTCTGGTTGGTGTAACAATGCTTTCATTACCACTCTCCTCATTGGATCCAGAGGTGGTAAGGAAACAGGCTCTAAATGAGAGCTTTACATAATGACAACAGATGATGCTAGACTCACTCCAGCCCCAACACCATACACCACAGACAAATTTTATGGCTAGATAAGAAGTATTGTCTAGAAAACAGGGCCATACTACAGTGTTCTTTTCTCTTTTCAATGCTCAGACAACTAGGGTATATAAAAATAAAGCTATTTCCCTCTTCTAGTACAGGAAATTTAGGGTGATAGTGTGGATGAAAGTTCCTGGAAGGAACCCCACCTAACACTGAATCTCCTACAAGGCTGATGAACTGACCAGAAGGCCAGTGATTGGGCTGAGGTAAGAAGGTTTGCAGGTTCAGAGCCTAATTACAACCTATCCTGGGTTGTCTTCAGCCCCCTCAGGAGTCCTCTCTTGCCTACTCATGTGTCTAATCTAACATCCTGGTGACTAACAGGTAGAGCCTTTTGGAATGTATTAACTTAAAAGAATACTAGCTTCCACCAACCAAAAGGCTAAGAATGTCATCAGATAGCATCTGAGGCCTACAGCAGAGATTTTCTCAGTTTGTTTTATCCTCATGGCTCCACCAATGTATATGAAAAAAACCTTGATTTGTATTTTTCTTTGTTCTGTTCCCATAAAACTTCACCCATATTTAGAGAAGTTTCCTCATCCAGTTAGTCCAGTATAGGAACTCCTCACAGATATGCCCAGAGTTGGTCCCTTAAGTGATTCTAGATACTACCAAGTTAACAACCAATATTAACCATCATAGCATGTCACTTCCAAAGACAGTTAGCCATCCAACCTACGACACAATCCTAATGCCTCTTAACTTACCTGTGGTCACTATTCCCTGGCCTTTCTTAGGCTGCTTTGGGGCTGTGTACTGGAAGAATTCATTTCCATGGCCCGTAGTTGCTTGATCCAGTCCAAAAAGAGAAGCCAGCCTGGCACTGTTAGTGAAAAATGAAAATAAAATTTCATCTGACATATCCCAAACTTTTAATCACTTTAAATGCTGCTGCCTGTGATCTTAAATATCTCTGATGGTGTAGCTCACTACTCAGTAACAACAGTAGCAGCGGAGGCTCTCTGAAATCAAGACAGTATTTGTGATTTGAAATCAGTAGCTGACCCAAGTTCCATCTGATTGTATTTCCTAGAGAGTTCCCAAGCACATTCCCCACTTCCCTACCTCACTGCCACGTCCTCCATTTATGCTGCCATCACCTCTGTGTAGGGTTTTTTTTCAAGACGGGGTTTCTCCCTGTAGTTTTGGTGCCTGTCCTGGATCTCACTCTGTAGACCAGGCTGGCCTCGAACTCACAGAGATCCGCCTGGCTATGCCTCGAGAGTGCTGGGATTAAAGGCATGTGCTACTGCCACCTGGCCACCTCTGTATAGTTTTAATAACTGCAATAATCTCCTAATTCACCCCCCCCCCCACCTACGTCTTATACAGTTCTCTCTCTCCCCAGACCTACTCCAGTACTGGGGATTGACCATAGGGCCTTGAACATGCCAGGCAAGGGCTCTCCCACCGAGCTATATCCATCACCATCACCCTTTTTTATGTTACTTTACTTTATGATGGAGTCTTGCTAAGGGGCCAGGTTGACCTTGATCTTTCGGTCGACCTGTGTAGCTGGGATTACAGGCATGTGCCACCAGACCCAACTCTTATCTCCTTCTTATACATTCTACACACTGCATCTACATGGTTATTCTTGATGACTCTTCAATATTAGTAAGATACAGACTTGGAACTTAGGCCACCAAGATGGCTCAGTGGGTAAAGGTGCTTGTCGCCAATCTTGATGACTGACATGAGCTCCATCTACAGAAAGCAGGTGGTGAAAGGAGAGCAACAATTCCTACAAGTTACCCCTGACCTCCATACTCATGCTATGATATACATGTGTGCCTGTACCCATGCATCTACACATATACACTATAAATAAGTAACAAATAAATGTAAAAAAAATTTTCTTTTTTAATCCAAACTCTACAAGATGAAGATGGTTTTAGAAAACCCTTCAAGACTTCATCTCCTTACTTCCGAAGCTTCATACTTAGTTATTTCTTTCTTACCTCCAACTGTGTGCTACAGCTACTATAAGGAACTTTCAGCTTCTTTTCTTTTTAAAGATTTTATATGTAGCCCTGGCTATGCTAGAAATCATGGTTTTGCCTGCATATATATCTGTGCATCACATGCATGCAGTGCCCATAGAGGCCAGAAGAGGGCATTGGATTCCATGAGACTTGTGTTAAAGAGGGTTGTGAGCTGCCACGGGAGTTAGGAATTGAACCCAGGTCCTGTAGAAGCGCAGCCAGTGCTCTTCACTGGTGGGCCATCTCCAAATTCCTTCAGTTTCTTATATAAGGCAGGAACTTTTTTTTGGAGAGGGGTGCAGATGCTGGAGATTAAACTCAAGAGTCTCATGCAGGATGGGCAAAGACTTGATCATTAAATCACATCCCCAGGTCAAGGTTAAGATTTTTTTAAACTCCAGCCTTTAGACATGCTATTCTTTCTACCTGGAGCATTGTTCCTATGCCTGGTCTCCCTGGAAGCTAATCTAAGTTAGATGTTTTCCTGGGGCTTAAGAGATGTTAAGCACTATACTAAGAGCTAGGTAAACATGGATGAGCAAAGCTAGATTCTTTTTCCAGAAGTTTATGATCAAATAAGGAGATTAGATATCACAAATTATGAGTTAGCTAAAGGGGCAACCGTTATATGGTGTTGTACTCCACCAACTAAGTCCTAAATTTATTTTCTTTAATTACTTACCCAGTCTGTTCTATTCTGTTATAGCAACACAAATCAATTGAGTGGGCAGGAGGAGGGAAGGGGGGATCTGTGATTAGTATGTAAAATGAATAAAATTTTTTTTTCTTAATAAAAAAAAATAGGGGAAACTGAGATTTTTCCTTTTAGTCAGGGTGACCTAAAGATTCTCTCCCCTTTCTTTCTTTTTTAAGACAGTGTTTAACTAGGAGGCCTGGCTGCCTGGGAACTCCCTATGTAGATTAGGCTGGACTTGAATTCACAGAAATCTACCTTTCTCTGCCTCTGAGTGCTGGGATTAAAAGCATGTGCCATTATGCCTGGCTGAGGTTCTTAAAGGGGTTAAATTCTAGAAGAGTTGGGCAATAATACCTTTAGCAATAGTGAAAAACTGTCAAGTCTTATATGTATAAATTTTGAAAAACTTATTATCAGTACTGCGTATGTACAATGTGTATGTGCTTGCGTGTGTAGGAGAGTATGTGCCACAGTGTGCATGCAGGACCAGAGGGTAACTTTGTGGAAATAGTTCTCTTCTTCTATCTTAATGTGGTTTATGGGGATTGAACTTGGATTGTCAAGGCTTTATCCACTGAGCCATTTTGCTGGCCCAAAGCTTAAATCTAGATAAGGTCTAATTGCTTACACACCAATCATTGACAATAAAAGGAAGGTCAGGTGGGGATGTAGCTCAGAAGCTCTCTGGTGGAGTATTTGAACCCAGGAATTTCAGAATTTATAGGGCAATATAGTGAGATGCAATCTCAAACAAAGCCTGTGGGAGCTGGAGAGATGGCTCAGATGTCAAGAGCATTTGTTGCTATTGCAGAAGACTTGGGTTCAGTTCCTAGCACCCAGATGGTGGTTTGTAACCATCTGTAAACCTGACACCCTGTATACACACTCCTATACATTAACATTAAATAAATAAATCTAAAATGTTTAAAGCTTTGTGATTTGTTTGTTTTTTATTTTATTCCACTGTTTAAGGGGTAAGAACTATGCCTTATTCCCCTGTATTAGCTGAAGTCAAACACGATGTACTTAGCAAACATTTGTCCATTTCTTCACTTCAAAGTCACAATGGTGGGGAAAGGGCTAAGACAGAAGGAGAAGACATGCCTTTTGATTACTACTTTAGGTTAGCCATTGACTTTAAGGTTGGGGAACTTGTCCAGGCTCGATTCATCTGGGTAATCTCAACACTCCGGAGGCAGAAGCAGGCGGATCTCTGAGTTGGAGGCTAGTCTGCCATAAATTGTGAATACCAGGCTAACCAGAGAGGCACAGTAAAATTATGTCTCAAAAACAAACAAGCAAGCAAATGAAAAGAGGCCCAGGAACGTGAAAAGCAGACTATCAGTCACTTAAACCACCACCCCAGACATCAGTACTCCTACTCCGGTTAGCCTTCAATATCCTACATAGAATCAGGAAAGTCATAAAGTTAAGTCAAACTTCAGGAAAATTAAACTGCACTTGTAAAAGAGGAACTGAAAAGCAGTGTCAGCATTCACTGTCAGATGTGCTATTTCCTTAACAAAACCAATGGGGGAACAGCCAAATCGGAGACTGCTCACGGAACTGCCTCTCGTTTTTGGTTTTTTTTTTTTCTTTCTTCATTTAATGTGTGGGGGTATTTTGTCTGCATGTGTGTCCTATGCACCATGTGCATGCCTGGTGTTCAAGGAGGCCAGAAGATGGTGTTGGCCAGAAGGCCACAAGACTGGAGTTGCAGAAGGTTGTGAGCCACCATGTGGGTGGTGGGGATCAAATCCAGGTCCTCTGGAAGAGAAGCCAATGCTCTTAACTACTGAGCCATCTCCCCCGTTCACTTTTCTATTCTTAATCTTAAATTTGATTCTGTTTTCCTAGCTACTACTGGGGACAAAAATTGATCTGTATAGTTTTGTTGCTGAGTCTTTTCATCATCAAATTGTCTGTTGCTATGCCTAGGACCCACAGTCATACACGTGATGAATCTCAAATCCTTAGTTAAGCCTGCTCAAGGAAGCAGGCTAGTTGAGCTAGGAAAAACTTATCTTGGGTCAGGAATCAAGAGAAGAGCACATGACTGCCATTGTCTGCCTAGTCAGCAGCAGATTCCTTGATGCGTGAAAGTGGAGAGTCTTAAAATTCCTTTATAGACTTTCCTCAAATACGTTCACATAGTGACGATTATGAAATTAAAATATAACTCAAAGCTGGATGTGATGGCGCAAGCCTTTAATCCCAGCGTTCAGGAGGCAGACAGGCAGATCCTTGTGAGTTCAAGGCCAGCTTGGTCTATATAAAAAATTCTAGGCCAGCCAGGGCTTCATAGTGAAACCCTGTCTCAAATAGATAAACAAACCTTGAAGATATTCAAAAGGCCCCACATACAAACACAAACAAAACAGGTGTTGGCTGAAAACCCAGCCAACAGCAGCAGAGGCTGCAAACATTTGGGGCGAAATAGGAAAGAATGGAAACATTTTTGTCCAGTCAAAATGGTAAGCTCAGGTTCAGTGAGAGAACCTGTCTCAAAAAATAAAGTGGAAGTCTGCAGAGAGAGACACCTGATACTGAACCTCTGTCCTCTACAGAAATGGTCACAGCATGCACACACCACACACAGGCACACGCACACAAACACAGTGCACAAATAAGTAAGACCAAAAGAAAGCCAGTCATTTTATAGTCATTCCTGTATTGAATTCCCAGTACACCAAAAGATTAATCACTAGTGTTGCCTCTCGGAATCCGGCAGAATGATGGGCATGTTGCTGTGTTCGTCATTTCTTAAGGACGTTCATCACTATGCACAAAACTTGTAAAGCAGATGTGCAAAGCAGAGCTCTGCAAAGATGTGAGCTTTGCAGTTAACAAGTCTGAAGGGAGTCAAGAGGTCCACTAAGTCAATGGAAGGGAAAACACTAAGCTAACTGTTAAAAAGAGGGGGAAATCTTGCCTCCCTTTAAAGACTTCTGTGTCAAGATAGTATATATGACGTTTGACGCAGGAGAAAATGGTGCAGTCTCTCCCATTGGCTTTAAGCCTCAGGGCTTACAAAGTTTGATTTCGCAGGCACTTCCTGAGCAATCAACATCCTCCAGGAGTTACTCTTCTAAGAGCAACACAGAAATGAGCAACGTAAGCAGTTCTGTCAGGACTTAGATTTCAGTAGCTCCCATGTGCAAAAGACTCGTGGGAAAAAGGGAGATAATGCAGTCTGTTCTGCCTGGGGCTGTGAAGGCAGAGGATCGCCAAAAAGGTAACATCCGAGGTAGGCTTTGAAGGAAGCTGCCTACCAGCTCCTGGTTCAAGGTGTCACCACCTGGTTCACTGGGAAGAGAAAGTCTCTTGAATTTACAGCTCATATATTTATAGGAGCAGACTCCTATAAAAACCCCGAGGCAGGCAGTCTCCTCAGCAATCATCTCCATTTCACTGGAGACACTGTGATTCATAAAGCGAAAGGGTGCCAAGTGGAGATGCCGGGTCCTGAACCCAAATCGACCGGTCTGACACCAGGGCGAGCTGTGCTCAGACTGCCAAGTCTGAGCCAGAGTGCTGCAAGGGTCTGGACCCGGAAGTTGAGAAGAGGCCTGAGAAGAGACCGACCCCTGCAACCGCCCACCGGTCTCTCGGCCCTGCGCTCCAGCCCCGACTTCTCCATCACTCACCCGCCGCTTGGCGAGAGGAAGTCGGTGTCATCTTCGTCTCCGGCCCCGAACATCACGTCGGCTTTAGCTCGGCTGAAGGGAGGAAGTCGATGTTCCCAGGGCCTGTCACAACCGATGTCGTAAATTGCCGCAGCCGCGAGCTGCTTTCCGGCAGGAAAGCTCTCTCCCGGTAGTGGGGCCCAGAGGAGACCCGGCGGTGGAGAAGGTGGAGCAAAGGCAAATGAGAAGGTGAGCTCCTGGTGACGCAAGGCCTCGCCAGCCCTCCGAGGGGGTGGAGTTCCTAGGCTCTGAGAGAGGATTGGTCAGATAGCTCAGGGGGCGGGGCCGGGGCGGGAATCGGTGGCCTCTGCTGCAGTCGTGGGACGCGTCGAGCCTGACAGTAGTGGCGGGGGTTTGGGAGAAGTCCAGACCTGGTGAGGGGTTCCAGTTCCAGAGGAAGGCACGGGCGGCGGAGCTCGACCTGGGAAGGTAAGGCCTGTCCCTTTCCTTTCCCAATCCCAGCGTGTTCGCTGTCCTTTCCCCCTCCCGAATCAGGACCCCCCGCAGCTCCTCTGGGCTTGGGCGGAAAGAGAGAGCGGGGCGACTAGAAGTCTGGGGATCTGAGCCGTGCGGTGGCCTGTCCCCTACAGCGTTATTGCTATTATGACCTTAGGCAGGGTGCTCGGTGCCTCAGTTTCCCCATCTACGCAAAGGACCTTGTGTCCAGTGTCTCCGTGTGCGGTTTGCCAAGGTTTTAAATCTCAGTGATCATCGAGTCGGGTCCGGGTCTCTTCGTAATCAACGAATTTGCAGAAAAGAAAACAGGAGAACTAACCACTTGGGTGACTAGTCCGAGGTCACGCAGAGTAAAGGGCAGACCTGGTCCTTTGTATCTGGGTTTGGAGAGCTAATGAGTGAAGGAGAACCCTCGCCCTTAACTAAACTGTGTGGCATACCGCTTGGGAAAGGACCTCGTTTCTAAAATTCAGATAGGAGAGGTCTCGAAGAGCTGGGATATTCGGGAGGGTGGATGATGGAGGGAACTTTGAAGGTAGAAAATCCTCAGCTCACTTTTGCTGGACTGAGTTTTGCTGCCAAGGTTTTAAGTCAACATTAGTTGTTGCTGACTTCTCCGCCTCCAGTTTTCACCGTGTGTGTGTGTGTGTGTGTGTGTGTGTGTGTGTGTGTGTGTGTGTGTGTGTGTGTGTGTGTGTGTTCTGTATTTCTTTGGCTAACCCGGTATCATTTTTGAACGATCATGAACCAGACCTGGTTAGCCGCGCTGTGGATAAGTTGATAGTGTGTCCCATTGTAGCGTCCATTTCCACAGATCTCATTGGAGTTCTTTCTCTCAGCTTTTCTTCTCAGTCAGGTTGGTCCTGTAAGTTGGCCCTTACCGGAATGCGTTAGTCTGTTGGATGATGTTGAAGGGACGGGTAGCTCTCTCCCAGAGAACTTTGTACCTCTTGGCACTTTCCCTGTGGGGTTCTTTATTATAGTTTTTGAACTACTAAGTTGTAAGTCGTCTTGCCCACAGTGGGTTCTCATTAATTTTTTTATTAGATTGAATAATAGAATTTATCCTTGTTCCTTAATTTACTCTCATTCCCGCCCCCTCCCCGTGTGACCCAAAGAGCCAGCGATGGCTCTTGTCTCTTTATAGGTAGCTTCCAGAAAGATAAAAATGCTGTACTGGCTGTGAACTGTCTGGGTTGCTTGGTCTCTTTTGTTCATTGAAGGTGACTGCACTATTGTCTAAAACTCCAGGGGAGGGGGAAGGGGAAATAGTGTAGCTAGAAATATTATACGTTACTTATAATTTTTGTAAGTAAATTATTCCTGTTTATCTGCGGATAAGGCTGTTGGTCTGCTTCCTGTGTTTATTTTACAGATTAAGATGGTTACAGCAGTGAAATCTGACTGTTAAAGCCAGGATAAACTGGAATCTGTGCAGTAGGACTGGAATCTAGAGCAGTAGCTCTGTTTACATTGTGAACTTGAATTGGGAGGAGGGGGTGAATGGATAATAAATTCTAACCCTGCCCTAGGCCTGATCACTTCACTACTAAAACATTTCAGTCATGCTTTCTTTCTTTTTTAGTTTTTTTGGGTTATTTTTGTTTTTGTTTTTTGTTTGGTGTTTTGTTGTCTTGTTTTGTTTGAGACAGGGTTTCTCTATGTACCCCAGCTGCCCTGGAACTCACTCTGTAGACCAGGCTGGCCTCGAACTCAGAGATCTGCCTCCTCCGAGTGCTGGGTATGAACCATCACTGCCCAGCTTGTTTTTTGTTTTTGTTGTTGTTGTTGTTGGGGTTTTTGTTTTGTTTTGTTTTTTGAGATGGTCTATTTATGTAGCCCTGGCTGTCCTAGAACTCATTATGAAGACCAGGCTGGCCTTGAACTCTCACTGAGATCCACCAGCCTCTGCCTTTCAAGTGCAGCGATTGAAAACTATGTCACTACACTGAGCTAATAATGTTTTTGTTTGTTTGTTTGTTTTAAATAGGAAACCTTAGAGAATGTCTGAGCTCTTTTCTTGCATTCTTGGATGGAGGTGTTTTTCTCATGGGTGTTTTAAATGGCCTTTCTTAGGTATTCATTAACCCTAAAACTGGCCTGTTTGGTGATTGGGACACTCTAGGCAGGCATAATATCTGATCTTGAATTTCATACACAACATGAGGAAGAGAAAGGTAGAAATTGGTCTTCCTCAGTCTTTCAGACTTAGAATTGGAAATGTAGGATCTGGTGCTTCTGAAAAGCCAGTCATTCTGGTTTAGGGCATCCAACTTGGTACTACTGGAGTTGGAGTCAGGAAACCTGAGTTCCTCCCTAGCCTTTATAATGTGCTCAGAGTTTAGGTCAGGTTCCCAAAACACCTTTAAAAAGGATCAGATGTAGACATGTCTGCTGAGAACTGGGAGTGCAAAGATAAGTAATAAATACAACCATAAGCTCAAGTTCAAGTTCAGTATGTTTGTTCATTTCATTTTCTTAACCATACACACTGAAATGTGTAGAAAATGTGTTGATCATCAAATGTGGTAGCATACCTCTTTGATCATGGCACTTGGAAAGCAGAGGTAGGTGGATCTTGAGAATTAGAGGCCAGCCAGGCCAACATAGTGAAAACTGTCTTTAATATATATATATATTATTATAATATATATATATAATACATACATGCACAGAGAGAAAGAGAGAGATTAACTAGGAAGCATCAAATTTAATAATTCCTTCAAATCAAATTTTCAAAAAGATGATAACTTTTATATCAAGCAAATCCATATTATTATCTTCCAGTGGTGTAGAGATATGGATTGAATGTAGATTAAAAATATGTCTATAGTATTCTATTCATTCAAGTTGCTAAAGGCAGAAGAATATATAATACAATTTGAGAAATATCACCTTGGAGACTACTGTGTGTAATGCCAGCCTTTGTGTAGATCAGGAATGAACTCTCTAGGAAGTTATTGTAGAATATCAAAGTAGGAAGAGATCATATCTCTTCATTATAATCCAAAGGGAAACTGGGTTGAAGTTTAGAACCAGTGCCCTAAACCATGCCTTACCTCAGCCAGTCTGCACACCCCATGTTCTAGGGATTAACCTTTCCCTCTTTAGACTACTGAAATTGTAGGGTTACATGGAGGACTTTGGAGATGAGTAGGATTCCCAAAGGACACTGGGAGGTAAGGCTTTCCAGGTTGAAGGAGCAGCTTTGGCAAACACAGGCAGGTGCATGTTTCCATGGCACTGGGAATTGAAGACAGGATTTTGCACAAGCTAGGCAAGCATTCTACCACTAAGCTATATATCACCAGCCTAAAGGGGGCTTTGCAAAATTTTCCAAGACAAGAGATGTACTTTTACCTGCTGCACCTGTGGCTTAGCTAACTAAAGTATGTTCAAGTGGGGAGTCAGGCACATTTTACATATCTTAGTCCAGCTTAAAACACAATACCCTCTGTGAGTTTTGTTGTTTTTAACCTAAAGCCTCAACTTTTTCTTGGAATGTGGTTCTCAGAGATCAACAGACTACAGGCGAATCTTATCTCAGCTGCCTGTTTTACAGTTTTATTGGAACACAGCCATGCTCATTTATTTACATATTATCTATGGCTACTTTCATCCTTCAAGGTAGAGTTGAGTATCTGCAGCAGCAATGACGTGGTCCACAGTACCTAAATGTTTAGTCATTGGTCCTTTATAGAAAACTTATCAACCCTGGCCTGAATCATATATGGTTGCTTTCTTCAACATACAATAACTACTTCAAAGTCACTCACAAAGCAGCCTGACTACAAAATTTTTCTAGAGGTTTATGAAAATTTCTGCCAGCCTTTAGAGTTGATTCCTGCATCCAACAGCAGATTGTGGGCATCTGTGTGACTCCCTCTTATCTAGTATAGCTGAAGCATTCAACTTGATTTTCATAGACACAACCACTAGAATGGCTGTGTAGAGTAGAAGTTATGTACTTAAGCTTTGGGGTCAAATTTCTTCGCTCCTTATTAATTGCATAGGCCTTGGGCAAGTTGCTACGCTTTTTCCATTGTAAAATAGGGGTAACAATAGTACCCATTTTCCTTTCTTTTCTTTCTTTCTTTCTTTTTTTTTTTTTTTTTTTGTTTGTTTGTTTGTTTTTCGAGACAGGGTTTCTCTGTGTAGTTTTGGTGCCTGTCCTGGATCTTGCTCTGTAGACCAGGCTGGCCTCAAACTCACAGAGATCCATCCTGGCTCTGCCTCCCGAGTGCTGGGATTAAAGGCATACGCCACCACTGCCCAGCAGTACCCATTTTCTAGAGTCATATGAGTTAATTCACATAAGGCATAAAGTACTAGAACAATACTTGCAGGTAGTTAAGTACTCAATTAGTGTTAGTATATCCAATCTAGCAGGGATGATACCTGTGTCCCCACAGTTTGGCTTCTAGACTGTTGAAACAGTAGTCCCTGGTCTCATGCTGTGAGAAAAAAGTCTAAAGCCTCGGCCAGCCAGAGAAGAACGCTTTCTCCTGGAAAGAGACTTAAACCTGTTGGACTACCTTATAGAAGACCCCGTGATGTGTGTGGAGCCACACCTTGACTGGGATTGTTAGATAGGCCTTCTACTGAAACTGCACCTCACTTCAGAATCCTGAAGGTGGACTGTGGGGGAGGGTCACTGCATTTTTTCCTCTTCTTCCTGGT